AGAGCTATTGAGCTAGTTATTATTTTTGCTCCTGTGTAAATGTGTGTCGTGCAGTTACTTGATGAAGTTATGATGCAACAGCAGCGAAATTGCCACTATTTTAAATGAATTCAATCAAAGTTTAGAGAGAAAAAAAAATGTAATTTGTCGTTGCTTGTTTACGGCCTCACAAAAATCTTCCCATCAGGAAATTTTATGTATTCGTGGTGCAGCAACGGCAAAGAAATCCGACTGAAAAGCATGTGTCATCATGCACCTGTAGTCCATGCAGAGTAACGTTTTGCTGCTTGAATTTTTTGACTTTGCTAGAGCTCCATAATGAATTGGGCAGATATGCTTCCTTTTTATGGCCTTCTACATTACTGTATAAAAGAAGTGCAGTGCTACTGGGCAAGTCTTGAACAACTTAAATGCTGCAGGCAGTTTTTATCATTTACCCACTTATTTTCTCCAGTCATTGAAAGTGCTGTACTTAAAATGGCAGATAACTGCTAGATAAGAAAACAATACTTCTCCTTATGAGCTCTTTCGTTTTTAGTAAGTTATTTTATTGCTCAACTGTTTTGTCAAATACTAGTAAACATAACGTCAACAAACTTCAGTTAGTGCAGAATTTTGCCACCCATGTTGCTCTTGACCTCAAAAAGTTTGATCATATCTCACAAGCTATCAAATCGCTAAACTGGCTGCCTGTTAATGACAGAATTTACTTGAATGAGGCAGTGATGATGTACAAATGTATTAATAAACTTGTGCCTGACTACCTATTCGAGAAATTTACTCTGCGTTCACAAATTCACAGCAGAAATACTAAACAACACGATCAACTGAACATTCCAAGGTGCTGCCTAACCACCGGTCAGCGGTCTTTCACCTACCGCAGTGCTAAGCTCTGGAATAATCTAAGAGACAATGTTAAATCTTCAGATTCTGTCAAAGTTTTTAGGAAAAAAATTGTCAACCTACTTTTCTCTAGTCTGCTACACAGCTGTTTTTAGTGTCGTCACGCAACGCTCCTCCCCACTAACGGCTGCTGAAAACCGAACTACATTCCTTTCCCTTGATTAGCCAATTATAATTCAGCTCCCATTTTCTGGAAAGTGTTTGTGCCACCTTTGCAGTACTGTGACTCCTCCAATCACAGCTTTGCTTTTATCGTTGCCCCATGTGTGAATGACAGAATAATCAAAATTGTCGCGTGAAAACAAGCAATTAACTACAGTGTTGTCGTAGTCGAGTCGTATTCAAAATTTAGGAGATAAGCAGCAACAGCAAGCAAGTCGAGCAAATTGCGATTCATAACATGGATGTGCCCATAAAGTTGCCAGGTATAGTTTCAGGAAATTGCTCATAGATAATTTATAAGACTGCTTTTTGAATCAGTACCCTTGAGACCCTTTTCTTCTCAGAACACAATGAGCACATCCGGTACATTAAATTCTTCACTACATATCAGCACATATGCACGTTAAATGAAGAACCAACCAATCCTGGTAAAAGTTTTCTAGGCCTATCAAACCTTTTTTTGACTTGGAACTTTCTTGACCGCTTAAAACAAACTTTTTTGCAAATTAACCTTTTCGTTGCTTGAAAACACAGAGCCCGTCTAAATTCAGCGACGATTGATTGATTTGTTGAAAACTGAGAAGCGTGCTCGCTTCCTAGCGCCCTGCGTCTCACGTATTGTCAAATTTCTTGTACATGATTGGTTTGTACATTAGACCACAAACACAAAAGGAAAGGAATGTAGTTCGGTTTTCAGCAGCCGTTAGTGGGGAGGAGTGTTACATGACGACACTAAAAACAGCTGTGTAGCAGACTAACTTTTCTCTGATCAATCTATGAATTTGTAAAGAGTGAATGATCCATTGTATTTCACTTATTTTTTAATGTCTATTTACAGGGTGTTTCAAAAGTTTGTTCCGATTTTTTATTCGCTTAAATTTCACTAATTATTTAAAAAAGCCTTTTATAAAGCTTAGTATGTTATTCATTATTCATTTAACATTGAATAACTAAAATATTAGTAACCAGAATGTCTTCCTGTATGTTTTCTGACATTTTCTAAGCGGTGAGGTATAGAATGAACGAGCTCCCAAAGCGTTTCCAAAGTCACATTTCTTCCAGGCGAAGCTTAGTAACTGTCTTAGCTCGTCCAGTGTTTTGGGGGCTAGATCTTTGTATGTTGTCTCGTGTACGATCATCCAGATGGTCTCTAGGGGGGTTCACATCATGTGAGTTTGCCGGCCAGTCCTCCTTTGGTATAAAGTTGGCAAATCCTTCTGACACCATGCTTGCATGAAGTGTGCACCGCCTTTTTCTCTTCAAGGCTTTGCAATTTTTTTTTTTGGTAACTTATCCCCATAGCGTTGTGCTCAAAACTTTCATCGATAATGTGAAGTTGAAATTTTTTTAACTTTCTGTTTTGTGGAAATATCACGCATATACTTACAGCTTTTTCAACAATATTTCTCAAACATTTTGTGAAAAAAAGGCCATCCACTCCTTGGTTTGTCTTCTAAGGTCTTTGATTTTGACCACTTGTTTGGTCTTCGTTCAGACGTCTTCAACAATTTGGCAATTTCTTTTTTTTTTACTGATTGGCCAGAAGACCATAAAAATAGATGCCTGAGCTCTAGCATAACAGTGTACTGGTCTTCATTTTCATGAAGGAGTATAGAGAAAATGAAAGAAAACGATTAAAATACCAAAATAGAAAACCTATAAAATGGGCAGGAAAAGTATGGCGGGAAAAACCTCGCGTACGTGTACAGTTGGGCAAAAATTAAAAAAGATAATAATTTCTTCATATTTTGGTTTGAAATTGCTTTGAACGGTTATTTAGATAAATTTCTTACCTGATTCAGTTTACATTTGCCTAAAGAAGTATTAAATGCTTTGCTCAAAATACAAATTACAATTGGAACGAATTTTTGAAACACCCTGTATTATCTTAGTTATTTGGCAATTTATTTAGCTATTTTAGTTGATTAGTAGCCTTGTCACTGAAAAACCCTGTTATGGAGTTGCAATAAAGTATGTATGTGATTCAAAGTTGAAAGATCCTCACTTCAATAATTTCATGAATCTTAATTTACTAAGCACTAAACAAAACTTTAAAACTGAACTTTCTTAGGCTCTCCCTTTTCAAAGACTATTTGACTTGAGTGCTTGTCATCCAGTGGCCGGACTGAGCACCTACAGTAGTATGCAAAACTGACTTTGAAATATTATCTACAATGTTGGTTTTAGAAATCAGCATGTCGACACCATGTTACACCAAAAATTAGCTTTCTTAATGCACTTAATCACAAATGTGTGAATTCGAAATATATCCAAGTAATTTAAGGCGACATAAAAAAACCAGAAAGTTTTTGAATTCCAGGAATGTGGACTATTTGCAAAAATTGTGACGCAAGCAACAGCACAAGTCAAAAGAATGTCCTGCTTGCTCTTGCTAATTCAATAAAATTAGAGTTCTGGTGTTTTGGTTATAGGTTGCAAAATTTTCAAAGAAAAAGAGCTCACTCATGACATTTGAACCAGCAGTGTTTGCAAAAATCAGAATCTCTTGCTTCATTAAGGAAGTGGCGAGCAACAAGTCATTTATACTTTCTTAATTTAAATCTATATATGTTTTTTTTCGGACACATTCACGAGCGGCAGTGTTTTAGAATTTGGGTGATCCATACTGAGCAGTGCTCGACTTTCAGAATAAAATCTTGGGGCCAGCTGGCCCCCAAGTTTTCATTTTTGGTCACCAGAACAAGAATTCTAGTCGCCTAAAATTATACTTAAGAACTAATGGAGTTAATGAACTAACTAGTTCTTAAGTATAATTTTAGGCGACTAGAACACTTGTTCTGGTGACCAAAGAACTACTGGAATACAATAAAGTTAACATTCTTTTACTTAGCCTCAACAGAAAAAAGAATGCTTTAGACTTCCTTTGAACTTTCTTTCGAATGATTTTGGGTTTTTCGGGGCTCGATTACCAGCCGGTGTTTGGGAAAATAAACCCACACTCAGGCGTAAATCTCCCCAAACAGGTATTCAAGCAATGGAATACACATTTAGATAAACAAACTTAAGGAATCACAAAAAAGTTATTTAGGTTGTTAAAGAACAAAACTGCAAAATTTGTTTTGCGTTTCATGTATTTGCATATTCAGAAATGAATGTCGGTAAAACTTGATCTATTTCACGGTTGTCTAGCACATGATCGAAAGTCTTTAGAAAGAGGAAACATCGCTAATGTTTTCGGGCAAACAAGCTGATCTCGCAATAAGTCTGTTAATCAATCAGCATCAGTTCAATGGTACTTCATGAGAAGTCACGGCAGAGCTTTTATTTGGGTCGTCACGCTGAACAGAAATTTGCATAAAGTTGTTTACAAGAGGCTCGAGAAATAAGCACCGTTTGGTCTCGATTTGGTTTTGCTTTTATTACTAAATCAGACTAATCTGCTATTGAGTCTGCAATCGAGACACATGTTCGACATAAAGAAATTGTTTTAAATCAATAAGCTAAAAGTCATTCCTGGAGAAACACGAGACAACCTGTTGAGAATTGTGATCAATTTGACCGAAAGTCAATAAGACTTCCGTCAAATTCATCACTTGTGATTTTCACTATTCTCTTTCAAGTAAAAGTCAAAGATTAGACAGACCAACTGTTAGATCATAAGAACAATCTGTTAGAGTGTTGGAAGAAATCGTTAAAGCGTTTAGACAAATCGTTAAAATGTTTAGACAAACCATTAGAGTGTTTGGGCAAAACGTTACAGTGTTAGAAAAACTGTTAGCTATCCGTTAGTTTTGTAAAGGATAACAAATTATCATTAGTGTACGTTTTCCCAAAGAAGAAAGTCACCTATCTTGGGGTCCAGGTTGGTGACCAGGCGTGAAAATTTAGTTGCCACAAGTAAAAGCTAGTCGCATTGGCGACCCCACAGGTTGCAACGTCAAGCCCTGCATATAGTTTTGGCATACAGTATATATATGAGGCACAAATTCCTTTTTTGTTATCTTTGTAGTGATTGGTTGGAGGATGGTCTGCGTGTGTATGAAGTAGAAAGTACAACTCATACAAGACGTAAGTTTCGCCAAGTTGCCAGGGAGACCTGTGGTGAATCAATGGAGCCACCAGCTGACAACTTGATATTGTTTGGAGAGATTTCAGGAAATAGAGGCCAGTTTATTACCCAACTACTTTTTTTTAGCAATGATAACATTTTTCATTTGAAGGGGAGAATTTTATGAGTGCTTATTTACTCCAAATTGCATGAGAAAAATCATGTGATTACTTATTAATAATATTCATGAAAAAATTGCCAGACAGCTTTAAAATCTCTTTAATAGGGAGTCAAGCCGCATAAACTATGTGCAAAAATAAATTATTCAAATGCAGCAAATATCATTACACGTGCAGTCAAAACAACATTTTCTCGGTGTTTTTAAAGTTTCAAGCTGCAGAAACGGGCTGAACAGTTCATGGAATTGTTCAATCTGTTTGAATTAAAGATTCTGGGTTCTTACCTCGAGTTTTCCGCTCTTCCAGAATTTTTTCTTCCTCCTCTGATACTTGCCGAGCTTTGTTTGGGCGCTTACCACGGCGAGCCAAGCGAAGCTCTTTCGCTTTGTCCTCCAACACCTCTTTGGACGAACTAAATTCTCGATCACGTACAATGGACAGGGTGCAGCCTTTGTTCTTTAAGTGTCTATAAGTGTTAAGCACAGCTGGCTCATAATTTTCTATTTCATCAGTAATTTCCTTATCTACGCACCAATCCTTCCAAACAGAGAGCCAAAAACGAGTGGTTTTCACAGTGTTTTCGTTTTTAGAGCAGTTTTTCAGCTCCTCTACAGTTGTTTCGGTCGCAGAAGCAAATGTGCTGCAAACGCCAACCATTGCGGTTTTTGCTCAAAACTGGTCCGGAGCAGATCCAAATTTTGCGCCATTTAGATGGCGTATTTGATTGGCTCTCAGTGAGTTCCTTTGTTTATTAGCTAATCAGAATGTCACGTTTGTTACTCTTTTCTGTACTAAATTACCTTTTTTCCTCTTAGCCAATCACAATCAAGAAATTTTTTCATGTATATTATTAGTAACGTTATGCTGCTGTTCAAGGTACATAATAGAAATATAGAGGGGGAGGAGAAGGAGAGATGAAGATTGTTTTGCTCCCTAAAATTACCCTATGAATGTTGTTGTGAAAGAAAAGGAAAAAATTGATGATGCTACATTCTATTACATTGTGGGTGGCCTGTTATTTGCCAAAAGTGGGGTAATTAGCCTGTTCTCGGCATTCATTTAGTGGAGAGTGCCGTGAAGTGGGAAACTGAGAAAGAAAGAATGCTTGTGGGATCTGCATTCAAAAGCTCATTTGTTTCAGTTTGTCTTTGCAGTTCCCTAAAAATTAATGATTTTATTGGACAATCCTGCTCCACCCTTTACTTGGTAGTTGTCAAGCGAAATCAGTAAGGAACCTGGGAACTACTAACATTGGAAGAAGGGTGGCAGATTTTTTTAATTTAAGCAACCACGGACAGGGACGGCAACGGGAACATTAAAAAATGCTGAACTCTTTCTAAAGGGACTAATTTATTGTCGGTGATTTCTCAGTTTTTCTTCTTGCTTTGCTGTCCCATGACAATTTACACTCATTGCTGGAGGTAGGATGAAAAGTCTTTTTACCGGAATTGAATCCTCTAGTCATACAGCAGTCTCCTTTGGCCAATAAATTTTTTGACTAATGTCTTTATTTTATCTGTGTAATTATTGTTACTGTAATTTTTTTTTTTCAAATCCATCACTTGGAACCTTCTCCAGCAGTTATCTGTTTGCATGATTTAATTCGTCTTGCATTTCCTGATTCTGTTCTAGGGCTGCTCGCAGAAGATGGGGTCTAGTGGTGTCTATTCTTGTATTTTGGTTGTGATGGCCTGACATAGATTTTGTACCAAACCTTATTTTGAGTATATTTTTGGTTTTAGATCCAGTTGTGTGTGTAGTTTGTGCAAAACTTGCCAGGAATGATGTGGAGGACATAACCAACTCAGATTACTACCACTGGGTCAATTTTCTTTTTGTCAAAGGTGACTACCAAGTAAGAACTTTAGGTTGTAATTGTAAAAAGTAAAAAAATAGATCTTCCTGAATTAGGGATGGTCAAAGGTACCTAGAAAATCTTGGTTCTCAGGAAATTTGATTAAAAGGAACTTTGATAGGTCTGGTTTTACCTGTTTTATTGAACACCATGGTTTCACTGATGTCAAATTACTGTCCACTGGTCTAAACGTTTTTCCTTATGACAACCTATTGACTGCACTTTTAATTTTCTCCAATCTTCCTCCTATTTAAAATAAAAATTTTCATGTTTTTTTAAGTTGCAATGCTCCGGTTCTTCATGCACGCAGTTCCAATTATTACTCGTTATTTAATGTACCTTAGTTGTAAAATGCTGTAACATGCAATAGATTATTCTTGACCGTCTATTTTTCCTAATTTAATACTCAGACAGAAAGTCAGGGTTAACACACTGAGATGAGAGCATAGGTATAGCATTACAACTTTTCTTGTTGAATTTGGAATTTGTACAAGTAGCGTGTTTTTCAGAAAGGACCATACAGGCTAAATAAATGCAATTTAAGCTTTTTGAGGAACACGTGAGTATAAAAAATTCCAGATTCAATAAAAAAAAAAGATACAATTACCCTCTAAAAATGTATTTGAAAAAAATTAACTGAACCACAAGTCGCCTCCAACCACAGTCCAACAATGCAGTTAACAAAAAGCGGATTGAATGTTCCAAACGACAACAAAGTGGCCAGTAAAGATTCTTGAACTTGACTGGTTGTTACAACATATATTTCAGTCTACTGTTTATTAGCGTATGACATTGCTCCATTCTTTGATATTTGCTTATTATTTCCTTGTTTTTGCCATATATATTTCCTGTATTGATCTCAGCAAATCACATTCAACAAATATTGTTATTTCTAGACCAACAGTTTTTTTGTGATATCATTAACAATATATAACCTTCTGTTTGCCTTATTTTCTCCCTAGAGGCATGGCTATGGAAGTCTGCTCTTGAATGCAGTTGAGACTAGGCTGAGATTCAAAACACTGAGACCCATAAGAGTTGATAGTGCGTTCAGAGCAGTGAGATTTTTTAAAGCACGTGGATACAGTGAAGTAGGGGAGCCAAGAGAATGTGTCTTTTCTGGATCAGCGCTGTTTAAAACATTGCAGACAATGGAAAAACTCTACTCTAATGTTACGGAGAAACAAGGAAAATTTTAGTGATGGAAACTTCATAGAAGCTTATTTTGCTACAATTTTTACGTCCACACATTACCAACTAATGTGAGTTTATGTTTTGGATGAAACTGTGGCGGTAAGGCATATATGGCTGGATGTACATGTGCATGCCTTAAAAAGGCTGGTCACCAAACAAAGATTTTTATCAGCTTTAATTTAATCATTCAAGCAGTATTGGTGACTGAGGTACAGGACTAGAAAGGAATTTTGACATTCTTAAACAGTGCATGTGAGTGAGTGACTAAACAGTCGTCTACTACGTTGGCCCAGAAGGGTCACACATGGAAATTAAAAATGTTGCTGCAAATGGAAAATAGTACATGCAAATTAAAAATTGTACATGCAAACTAAAAATATTACCTGCAAATTAAATATAGTATATGCAAACTAAAAATTGTGCTGCAAATTGAAAATAGAAAACATATCGATGCAAATTAAAAATGAAAAATCCTGCGCACGCAGTATGAGTGATGAGGACCTGGTCCGAGTCATGCGACCTTGCCTTACAGCCGTCGGCCCATTCATGTTTCATGTTTGTAATATTTTTAGTTTGCCTGTACAATTTTTAATTTGGATGTCCTATTTTTAATTTGCAGGTAAAATTTTTAGTTTGCAGCAACATTTTTAATTTGCATGTGTGACCCTTCTGGGCCACCGTAGCCTACAGATGACTTAATTAAGTATGGAGTCATCAGTAATACAATGCAGTGCATTACAATCACTGATCAGCTACTTTGCAATTAAAAAGAAAGGCGTCCTAATGCCTATTTAATGCCAAAATTGTCATTGATCTACTGTGATTTTCAGTGTTCAACCCACTACTCACAGGGGGATGCTCTGGATTACAAGTCATGAAGAGGCTACACATCATCAAAGTTTTATACAGAGCTTTCTCGCCCAAATAATCACAAATAAAGTCTGAGTTTCTTATTTACAATGCCCTACTTCTAAATCAATGAGGTCAAATATGAAACTGAGAAAACAACATTAAAAATGTGCTATTTTTCTAATGCAGTTCTTTGTATTTCTTTTATTGTTAGTAGTGATTCTTAAATATAAGGTACCTTGATTTCGACTTGTTTGTAGGATTTTGTATTGACTGTTATTCCCTGCTCGCAGAGGTCCCTCACGACGAGACCTCTGCTAGCAGGGAATGACTGGTATGGCTAAAATGTTGCACAAAAATGTTGCGCAAAATGTTACAAAAAGTTGCACAAAATTATTAGGGACTTCAAGATCCAACGACGTGACAGCAACGAGAACGTCGCTTAAAAAAGTGAATGTGCGTCCTTTCAGTCGTTATCGCGATTATTCCTACTTACTTTGCCAAATGTACGCGAACCCTTCTGAATTTGAATTGCAAGGGACCATATTCAAGCTCAGAAAGCGAAATAAAAGTTTGTCGTTGCTTGTTCAGGTTCTCCGTAAAACACGAAATAAGTTATTTTCACGTCCTAGTCGTGCAAAAACGGCAAAGAAATATACAAAAAGGCGTCATGTACTTGCAAAGTTGTTGTTTCGCTTATTAAACCTATTGATTTTTCAACGTTTTTGTGGCCGTCGCGTCGTTGAATCTTAAGTAAAGTCCTTAATCTTTGTTACAGAAACGAATATTGCTTAACAAAACTATCAAAGTTGAACTTAGGAAAAAGTGTTCTCTTTCACTCTCAGAGGTGATCAAAGTCAAAATTCCACAAATTTTTTATCATGCTGAAAAACATAATACAGTGCAAAAGTATTGTTAAGGTTTCATTTGAAAGCTCATACCATTGGAGTTCACCCACAGACTCAAACCAAGACTCCATCATTGTTTAGTTGAGAAGAAATCAAGTCTTGTTTAGTATCTACCATGTGATTACGACAAAAAATGCTGGCTTTGCTACTTCGTTTTCTGATATGGTTCGTTTTGCATACAAATTGTTGATTAATTTTTCAAACTGTAACGTGATGGAATTTGAATTTTCGAATAAGAAATTTTTGTTACCACAAAATATAGACCGCTTAATGTGGGATCTTGAAAACACATGCTGTTCAGTATCACAATGCCCTCCTCCCCGCTCCCCCGAAGAACTGGGAGAGGTTTTAATAATTATACACTCAGTGGGAGCTTTGTGGCCTAACAGTGCACTGGACTTCAGATCAAGAGAACAAGGTTCGAGCCCCAGTTAGGGTCATCGAGTTGTATTCCTGGGCAAGACACTCACAGCCATGCCTCTCATCACAGTGCAGCACCCCATAAAGTGGTTTAAATCCATTCAAACCATTGTGTTGCATTTCCCAGCAATACGGCAAAAATCTAGCCTGAATTTCATCCGATTGCTTTGAGTCGTTTTATCCTCTTGGGGAGTACTAACGACTTGAAGTAATCCGATGAAATTCAGGCTAGCAAAAATCAACCTTTTTTAATGTTGTTCATTGCTGATGTGCAATGCCTGTAGACTACCTGACATTCCCAATAGATGAAGGAGGCGCTTATTCGAGTGCGACCCCCTTTCGGTTAAATGCAGCAGTAGATTATTGTAGTTTCGGTAGAGACCGCGGCACTTACTGATTTTGAACTTCAAATATGAAGGTTATTTTGGTGTGCATTAACCTTCTAATCAAATAGAATTCCACCCAGAGTAGGGTAGTGCCCTAGTAGCTTTATGCTATTCTCTATTTTCCAATTCCCCATAATACACTCTGTTTGCCCCCCAAATTTTGCATAAACCATTGTTTTTAAATGCTCCTGGGAGTATTGCATTTTCCCAAGAGCATTTTAAGACAATAAGTTATGCAAAATTTGGGGGGCAGACAGAGTGTATTATGGGGAATTGGAAAATAGTCAATGGAAAATTCTGGGGGAAATTCCAGGTGTAAAAACCTTAATGGTGCCAAGTACAAGAGCAGAAATAAAGCCACATCACAGGACCACAGTTGTCCATGCAAGTGTCTTTGTATATCGTGAGATGCACTAAAACTTAAACAGTGTATATGATAACAGCTCTTTTTACATCATCAAAACTGGGTGTAATGGGTCCCATGAGTTATCAAAGACTCTTAGGAGGAGATGGTCATGCTAATGTCATATTCATTGCCATAACACAACAACCACATTCGATAATAAACTTTATTAATAAGCATGAGAGCATTGCTGCTCTCTGAAAAGACTAACGTACAACAACATTCTCTATGCTAACAATAACACATGACATTAAAATATAAACAAAGATCATATTTCCTCTCAGCACCCTCAAGTTAAAGTTCAAATTTATTTCGCACTATTCAAGTTGATACAGTATAAGATGGCTTCCAGAATCAGTAGGTTAACAAATGATGAAAAGTAAATATAATATACAGGTTTGTTGATATGTGCACAGCGACCAAGTAGCCGATAATATTATAGGAGTAAAACACTTGAACCAACAAGTATCAGTAGAGCTCAACAATTTCCTTCCCTGTACAGTCATGATCAGAACAAGTTCTCTTTAACTCCAAGTACTTACAGACTTCTTATTATGTGTCTAATTAATTGGTCCTTCAGCCTTTGCCCTTGGCTAATTACTATAAGTATTACCTTCCCCTTATCCTTTTGGCCCAGTATTTTAAACAAGAACCTGGATGCCATTTGAGGAAATAAAGTGTCAACACGTTTATCTCTCATCAATGCAGATATGATCTCAGATTAATTCAAATAATTCTAGCCTTTCACCTGGCTCCATCTCCAGCAAAACTTAGTATAATAATTGAGTGCTATATAATATGACACCAGTAAGTGATTTACTATCTTTCAATACTCGATTGACATCAGTTGGATCCTTGCTGGAACGTTTTTGAATTGGCTGGTTTTTAACCCACCCCTGAACCAACCTGCTAAACTCATGGAAAACTGCATTCTGTGGAAAGGAGAAAATTGTAGGCGTGACGAAGATACTCTAATATACAAAAGACCCCAGAACACATTTGTTTGGTGCAATGGCCATGTAGCTGGGCTTCCATAGGTGGTTTTTGCCTGCTTCTTTATATGGGCCGTTTGTACAGTTCCAGCCGGGTCTCATTTGTCTTCTCTGGCCTTGGATGACCAAGGTTGATTTCTTCTTAACTCGTTTGGTTGGGACAATTTATCGGTTAGAAGGGCTAAACAAAAGGCTAATTTAATGTACAAGTGCATTTATAATCTCGCCCCAGCCTATCTCTTTAATTTGTTTGCCCCAAGAACACCGAATTACTATTTTTGCCCCCAAAAAACCAAAAACTGAATACCTGAAGTGTAGCTTCAGTTACAGTGGCGCTCTTCTATGGAGTCTTCCTGAGGAAATACGTAAATCAAATTCCTTAGGTTTCTTTAAGAGCAGTTCCTATAGATGGTTTTCTGATCAGTACTCGCACAAGGCAAATGTGTAGAACAGTTTTTGAGAATTTTTAATTAATTTTTCATGTTAGAGTGATGTTTTTAACCGTGTATAAATAAAGTTATCATTCATTCATTCATTCATTTAGGTGTATTAGAGTCCACATGTTTTGTCACATGAGAACTGAAAAAGGAGTGTAAATCTCCATTGTCATCAGAAAGAAGAGGTGTTACTAGGATGCTGATCGACAGCATGTGGTTGCCATGTCAGGCAATCATGTGCTGGAGGGGACAGATTTGGACGGTACCAGGATGTAGGCCTAGGAGGACGTAGATGGGAAAAGGGACACAAAGTTGACTCAAACCAAGTAACAATCTTCCTCATAGCTCTTCACGGTGGAAGCATTGTTGCTGTGGTTACGTTTGAAGCCACTGTAAGAGCAACAGATTCTTTTAATGCCTGGGCCATTGTAGATAGAGGTTGTTATTTGCTGTCCGGCCAGGAGAGGAAACTCTGAATTGCTTGGTCAGCATGTCTGTCCAGCAGACTTTGATGCTACTTAGCTCGAAAATTATTTCAGGCTCCACTAGTACCATTATTCTGAGGAAAGAATGGGCAGCCTGGTATTCGGTGATGTTACTAGAGTACAAACCTCACTAGTGGCTGCTTCGTGCATTTTGGTCACATACGATGATACATAATTATTTCAACAACAGTTCCTTGCTGTCGGAAACTTTCACCTCCATCTGACATTTCAGGCTGCCAAGAGAGTGGTAAGATAGCCCCGCAGGTTTTTGTCACCACTGTCCTGCATGTAGCGGAAGTGGAGAGAAATCTCACACTGGCTATCGGTGAAGAAAGAATCTGGTTGGTCGCAAAGTGGTCAGGAGGACTTATCCAATGTTTGGGTATCTGCCACAAGAAAGTCGTCAGGTGCATTCTCGCATGGGACAGATACATGCAGAAGATTTGCTCTGATGACAGTAATATTGTGAACCCAAACGATGACAGCATATGCAGATGTAATGTGCCGCGTTGCTAGAATTCAAAATAATAAAGCAGGTGATCACATTTTTGCCTACGGAGTTCTTGCCTATTTCCGAACAAGTGATGATACCAACGATTGGTTTTTCCTCCAGTGAAATAACCAAACTTGTGTGTGAAGTGCAATGTTTCCAGGACAGGCAAATCTGTAGGCCCACATGCAAGACCTGGCTTCCTCTTCAAAGGGTGGCCACAGAAAAGTCCATTGGTACGAACTGATGGTAAGAAAGAAGGATGGAAAGCCATACTAGCAAACAGCGTCTATTAAATAAAGTTGCTGCCATTGCCAGGTGCAAGGAATGATTCCTGGACGGCCCTTGTAATTGTTTTAAACAGCCATCGATCGTATTGGCACTGAAGTAGGTCGTATATGATGGCACAGTTGTTGACTGGAGAGAGTACTTTGTTAAGATATGACAGCTTTCTGCTCTCCTCTGCTGAGTAGGTGCAAATGCCACTCCTACAGGAGTGTGCTATAATATCGAAGGCCATAGCACACATTATTTGCCTTCAAATAGAAGAGCATTAAAGATGTCATACAAAAAATCATGGCTTACAAAAGCCAAACGTCTGCATGAGAACAAATCCACAGTAAGAAGTATCAGGATTGCCCATAAGAAAATCCTACATCCTTTGTATGTGCTGAAATCCTGTACAATCCTGAAGTCTACGAACTTTGTCTTGCACTGTTGAAAGAGCAGTTTTACACAGTGGATTTCAAATGGCTGATTAAAACTCGTTCTGCAAGACTTCTTGGAATTAAAAATACGTTATTTATGTTGAAGACAATGTTTCTGCCTTAGAGTCCCGTGGTTACAACATCAACTTTCCTGATTCTGCACAATGCAACTTTCCTTAAGTTTAGCAAGGTGGCCCAGAGGTGGGTTAAAAACCAGCCAATTCAAACAAGTAAACAAGCACCAATCTATTATTCAAACATTTATTGCAGGGTCAATAATCAGCCTACTTAACTATGCTTATTTATGACTACAATGACAACAGCATGAAGCATTAGGGTTCATCGCCTTCTAAAATATTGGGTTCACCAGGCTTTAACAGATCCAGATCAAAGCTGTCATCTAAAGCAGCAGCTGTGTTGTGAGATGTGCTAAGCTGCCGTAAAACCAGTTTTTTATATACGCCTGCCTGAGCCAACAATGTCTCATGAGTACCACGCTCAACAATACGGCCCTTTTCAATCACTAAAACCTAAATAACAAAATAAGGTTGGTTAAGATGTGAATTTTCTCAAAATCTATCTTTTTAAGGGTAAATGTCTGGGGTGAGTTGTCAAAGGGTGATAAAAACTAAAACAGGGTTAAATATTAATATGGGATTCATTTTCCTTTGTTAAGGAACATTTTTTGCCTACAGTCGAACCTCCCATAAGCTACCACCCAAAATACAAAGACTTAGTGGTCGTTTACGGTAGGTGGTCGTTTACAAGAATAGAACCACATGGGGGAATCTTCCGAGAAGTGGTCTGGACACATCTACTTTTTGGAAGATAATTTATTGCATGCAATTTCTAATTTAGGCCATGTGTAGTTCCGTGTTTTTACTTAAGTTCTTCACATATTCCAAGCAGCATAGTGCACACAGCGAACATAGAGATCAGAGAATGCCTCAAGTGGTCGCTTACAAGAGGTTAAAAACAATGGAAAATCATTAAACTTTTAGGCTCAAAAGGAGGTAGTTGTTTACTAGAGGTTCCAACTGTAGGCCTTTGACTGGGCCCGTTTTGGTGTTTAGGATGGGTGGTCGCTTAAGGGAGGTGGTTACCTACGAGAAGTGGTCGCACATGGAGGTTGGACTGTAGGCAATTTCTGGAACGGCACCTCCATGGGGGAGATGAATGGATATTTCCTGGAACTGTACATTAGCTTTTAGAGCTTTTATATCTGAGTTCAAACTTTGCAATAACTCTGGGTTATTTAAACCCAGCTTTAAACGACACGGTCTGGATACCAATGTTCTGCACTCAACAACTACAAAAACCTATATTATTCAGTGACAATGGCACTTGGAAAAGTAGGGTAGTAACTCTGGGGATACCCGATCAGTGAAAGGTTCCGGCAATTCTGCTTTTTTACCAAAAGATCAACTCTGCTACTTGAAAAGAGCAGAAAAATTAACTTTCTGCATTTAATGTGGCTAAATATCATTTAGGCAAAGTTAAAATGTGAACAAATGCAGCCAGCGGTCTCTCTCATCTGCAGCACGTGACCTTTGAGGTGGCCTCTAGAGGTTTCACAGGGTTTCAAGGTTCATTGCTTTACACGTGCAGTGTTATCAGCTGATCTTTGCGGATCAAACGCTTTGCTATTGCGAATCATTGCGGATTCTTGCACCCTCTCCTCCCTCCCTCTTTTGCGTTGGGTCATCAGGGTAAGTATTTTCAGGTAAGTTATTTCCACTGATTGTTTCAGTGTGACGGTGCCGGTTAGCGGGCGCTCTTTTGGGTGGTTCCCGCGTTCCAGGGTTGCCATGGATACCTCCCCTGCAGCTTGGCATCTGGCACCCCGCTAACCTTTTAGGCACCAGTTCCCAAGCTCATCTATTTGTGATGAGTTTAATTTTTTATAGAACAACATGCAAAATTGTTACCTTTTTTGTTACTGCTAGTCGATCAGGTGAAAAGATAAAAAAAGGTACCTTTTTCGAAAAAAAGGCGGGTATTTTAAGCTTTCGGGTGAAAATATTTTAACGTCAATATTGTCCGCTTTTCATACATTTCTCACTTTACTAAACAAAACTTTAAAGCGCGAAAAAGGTACCTTTTTTTCAGTTTGAAGCGATCTCTTTAAAAGCGAGAAAAAGGTACCTTTTTGCGGTTTAGAAACGTTCCTATCAAAAAAGCAAAAAAGGCACCTTTTTTGCGGTTACAAGCAATCTCATCAAAAGTGCGAAAAAGGTACCTTTAAAAATAAATGATGTTTCAATTAAAATCCTACTGACTGACAGATGTCAAGCAACCGTTGGCGCCCCTAACGAACGATACACAGACGTTTTTAGGGGACTCTATGTCCCGTTTCTACAATCGAATTTCACAGTCCCGAATCTAATTAAAACGAGCAAAACCCATCCTAGACTGCCCTAGAAACACCTGTATGGGAGGCTATTCCTCAGTGGCCCCGGCTATTTAACAGAAATGGCTCGGACGCGCAATATTATAATTATCGCGTCCTACATTATTGGCATATTTTCCGAGCTACGTACGTGGACGAGGGTCTACTATGGGGAATCATCGGACTAAAAAAATAGCTGGCTCCTTTTAGCTGATCAAAATTGAGAAACTAGACTGAAGAGATCGGAAAATACTGGCTACCATCCAAATGGATGAAATAGCTATTGGTTCTTTCAAACTAGATGCATGTAGAGGACCTAAGCAAGCCGGTCCATTTTTAAGCGTGGAGCGAAGACTTAAAAAAAGTCCTATATGAAAAGTCGAACCATTTTAATCTGCGAAAAAAAATATATCAGATTCTACGTCGATCTACGACAAACAGCAGAGAAGTGTTTCTTCTTTTAAGTCTAAACTGAGCGGGTTATCATAATAACTGTTTTGTTTTGCGAGTGCCCTTTTTCACTTCTGAACGATGGAGTCCACTTCGTATTCGTTCAGTCGTCTTATCCCATATTTAGCACAAAACAATCGCACGTTTCTTTCTGAAAAGCCTCTTGTTACTTCTGGAAAGTTTTGTCTGAGAATTTCACTGACATGTTTGTACGTTTTATTGTCTTCAATGAGATTCCTTATTAAAGTAACATTGCTTTCCATATATTCCGCCATATTTGTCTCTTGACTAGTGGGTCAGTCAATTCAAGCAAAACAAATGGCGCCAAACAGTTGACATCTGTCAATCAGTAGGATTTGAAACAGCTTTCAAATATAGTTTGAAAACGCCATTTATTTTTAAGGTTCCTTTTTCGCACTTATGAGAACATCGCTTCCAACCGCAAAAAAGGTACCTTTTTTGCTCTTTTTACAGGAACGTTTCTAAACCGCAAAAAAGGTACCTTTTTCGCGCTTTAAAGTTTTGTCTGGTAAAGTGAGAAATGGATGAAAAGCGGACAATATTGACGTTAAAATATTTTCACCCGAAAGCTTAAAATACCCGCCTTTTTTTCGAAAAAGGTACCTTTTTTTATCTTTTCACCTGATCGACTACCATTAACAAAAAAGGTAACAATTTTGCATGTTGTTCTATAAAATATAATGCAGAAAGTTAATTTTTCTGCTCTTTTCAAGTAGCAGAGTTGATCTTTTTATAAAAAGCAGAATTGCCCGAACCTTTCACTGATTATACCCACATCTAACTTAGGATATTATACAAATATTTAAAATTAGTTGCAACATACCTGGTCAGCATTTCGAACTGTAGACAGTCTATGTGCAATTACAAGAACTGTTCTGTTTATCATGGCACGGTCAATGGCTTCTTTAACAAAATGCTCACTTTCTGCATCCAATGCGCTTGTTGCCTAAAACAAAGTCAAGAAATATTTTTAAACGGAATATGTCTTGTTCCCCACTCACACTAAAACACACGTCTGCACTGCTCCAGTCCGTGTTACAAAGAGTCAAAACCTCTAAGGCCTTAATTAATGGTTTCATAAGAAGGCAGCTGACTGCATTCTGCAAATACAGTGTATTGCAGCAGTTTCTTAACTTACCTGCAACAGTACAATAACATACACATGTCAAATGTACTTCGAGTGAATATTATTTCCCCTAATCCGGGTAACTAACTCTCCTGCATTAGGTCCCCCCCGCCCTCCTTACAACAGGCTAATTTGCTTCTACAGTTGACAGTGAGACCTGAAATTTGCTCACTAACTTTTGAACCTAGCATTCCTTATATAATGATTTTATGATGATTTCACCAACATAATTTACCTCATCAAGCAGGAGAATCTCAGGATCCATCAGAAGAGCTCGTGCTATAGCTACACGTTGCTTTTGGCCTCCAGACAGCTTCACACCACGTTCACCAACTTCAGTCTGATAACCTTCCTAAAGAAAAATTACTACTATAAAACCATCTTCAATAAGAACAAAGGTATACCTTTGGCTATTAGTTAACCATTCCACGTACTTTATTGGCCTAACATCCACATGTAGCATGAAGTTAAGAATATTCATTAATAATAATAATAATAATAATAATAATAATACACATTATTTAAAGAGGGTCGCATGGAATAGTTACAGAAACTACTAAACTTGTGGCCCTCTATCTAAATTAAAATTACAAAAAAACATAAGATTCCGAACGTACAAAGTCTAAGTACAAAATAAATAAAACTAAGGAAATATAGAAGTCCTACATCAATATGAATGAGTATAAGAGCTAATGATATGGCTAGTGAAATATATGCAAGAATATGACTAAACTATGAAATGGAGTAATTCCTGCAGCTCTTTAAATAAGATATTTCGATAATTATTCTTAAAGGATTTTAGTTATACTGCATTTCTAACTTCTAGACTTAAGCTGTCCCAGAGTTGTATCATCGGCATACAAATCAATTCGTGATGAAGTGACATAAAGCGGTAGGTCATTGATAAAGACGATAAATAACAAGGGGCCAAGTATGGATCCCTGGGGAATACCATGACGAACAAAAGCGACACTTGACTTTTTATCTTCCAGCTTAACAGGTTGCCATCTGTTCTTCAAATAAGAGGTAAACCATTGAAGGGAATCCCTACCAAGCCCATACACTTCAAGTTTCTTTAATAAATATAATATTATGTTATTAATACATTGACATTATCAACTGAAGATATCAACATGGTTTAAACACACATTTTCACAACAATTAAATGAAAGTATTACAGAGAGAAAAATATTGTTTGTTTTCTCCACTGCAATTTTTATTTAGCATACAGTGACGTACGTCTTGACCCTTGTATACTAGACTGTTTTTGCATAGAAACTGTTTCACATCACTCATTTCTTACCTCAAATCCTGTTATAAAGTCATGAGCATTAGCCTGTTTTGCAACTTCCTCTATCTACAAAGTATAATGAGTATTAAATGCTTTAAACACCTTAACAGTCTTAACAGTACTGCCTTGATCATGAAATGGCAATAGGCTGATTTTTTAATGCGAACACAGTTATACGCACATTTTATTCGTATTCACACATTTTCCCCTCACCTTAAGGGAAGCATTCCAAGTTTAATTATTGTGTTTCTGCAATGACTTGACTAGAAGACTTGAAAGACGTTTTAATTAACTATAAGGGCTTCAGCTGATTGCACTCAAAGCTTTGTGATCTGAATGAATGCTCAGATAGTTTGCCATTCAACAAGACAAGCTAAGTGGTACCATAAACACATGACCAATTTCTGCAAAGGGCTTAGAGTTCAAATTCCTTGTCCCATCATACATCATATAAATGCCTGGATACCTTCTCTCGGCTCAGTCTTTTCCAAAGTGATCATGTGATAATCAACCCACAGCTCAGAGCACCAGTTCAACAGGGGTCAATTTAATAAAACTTACAAGTTAGTGTAGCCATTTTTTTAAATTCGTAATATGCACTTGCAAATGTTTGATTAAATTTGACCCCAGTATTGCAAAGGTTATGTGTCTGAATCCTGTTCCAGCCGATTTTTTTTCATGTTTGTTTGTCAAAACTTTTTTTTCAGCTTCATCACCCAACTGTGATGATCTTGTATCATATGGAATATTTACATTAAAATATGTTTGAAGATTTAAAGTTGGAAGTTTCATATATTCTTTTTCTAAACAGACAAATAAAACTTGCTTTGTTTCAAGATACCAACTAACGTGCTGTTAATTTTATATACCTCCTCTTGAGTTGCTTCACGTCCATATGCAATGTTGTTTGCTATTGTTGTGGCAAATAACACTGGTTCTTGGCTAACAAGGGCAATTCTTCGCCTCATCCAGAACAAGTCAAGTTCAGCCAAGTTAGTTCCTCCTGCAAAACCAAATGAAAGGTTACATGGCTCGCAAGTAACAGAGATTAACACCATCATCATCATTATTAATTATCCTATTCAATTGCATCTGAAGGTTAAGTGTTCACGATCTGCTCAAGTGAAGACAAGAAACTTTACTTGCAACATATTTCTCTTATAGTTGAGGCATTTCTGGCGAGTTTTGTGTAGCTTTCTAGATATTGATATAAGATTTGATGAGTTAGGAAGTCTAGTTGTATGGGTAGTATACTTCAGCTGTTGATGAAAAAGTAGTCAACAAGAAGTGAGCGAGGAGAGTATGTTGATGTTGGTATATTATGTAGTGCTAGTCCATGTCACCTTCTTCAGTCATCTCGATAATGGAGCACTGACACACTTGACATCAAGCAGACAAAGAAGATGGGATACCACATAATCCGTCATGCGGGTCTACAAGAGATGTGTCCCTCAGTGACCAGTTAGGCTGAGGTCAGAAGGTATGTTACTGGCTGTGACAGTTTGTCACTGTCCACTACCTCATCTGGTACTAGAAACCTTGCTCACACCTCAGAACAACGGAATGAAGACGAAAATGTTGAAAGTAAGAGATTTCTACAATATACACATTGCAACAACAAATGTAGTACAATCTGAGTCACTGCAAGAAGACATCAAACTTGCACTGATAGTGAAAGCGGCTATGACCTAAATATGCATATCATAGCTAGCTAGGATGTTAACGTTATGGTGAACGAAGATTCACCAGCAGTAGAGGAAATGGAACATGAACAGATCAGCTGAAGACTGAAGGCTTGAAATATAACTCAAGTAACCAACTCGTCAGTATATCAATGACCCAGCTAAAGCTACATGCCATCATAACATGTTTGCATAAGAAGGGCTTGTTCAACATTGCAAAGAATTTGTCAATCAGAGCCAACATGAGTAGGATATTAGCTAAAATTGTCAAAAGTAGGTTGAGTATGATTGTCCATTTGAACGTAGTCCTGAATATAACTGTTGTTCTTGACAGTGACTGACACTTCTCAACTTGTGCCGTAGTCATCTTCAGAGTCAAAGTGAGTTGTATCACGCCAGTTGATGGTATTAAACTCTGGTTACTGACCTGATTGGTCAATTAAGTCGCGATGTTATTGGCCATCTGTCAGTTAAGCCGTGATGTTATTTGTTATGAAGACTTGTAATGTCATTGGTGCATTTCAATCCATCTATTTACCCAGTTAAACAGTCGTTATTGTTAGTCATATTGTCAGTCAAATTGTCAGTTGCCAGTCATTCTCTCGTAATTAGTTTTGCTTGATTCCTGTCAATTAGTTATTTATACGGTGCCATTAACACGTGATAAAGTCTCTCATCAACAAATACAATGATACTTTAATTGCTGTATATATTGATCGAACTGCTGCTTACAATTATATTCCAAGGAATGTTCTTTATAGAGTCCCAGAGTTAAGAACAGGTGCATCACAGTAGTATAGGAAATGATGCCTTCTGCCTCACCTCAAAAAATTTCTAACTCAACTCACAACATCACTCAACTTGTTCACTCATTTCGCATACTCATTCGTTTTTTACTCGCTTTCACTCGCTTCGCTCGTTCAATCTCGTTTAAACTCATTCGCATACTCAATTTCGATTCACAAGTATTCGTTCAGTTGCTCGAAGATCTAGAAATTTTTTGAGGTGAGGCAGAAGTCATCATTTCCTATACTACACATAAGTAATAATAGTATACTATTATACTGTTAGCGAAAGTTATGGAAAAAAAGTTGTGAAGTATTAATTAGTCCTAGTATAAATTAACTATGCATGGGTGCTAGAGCTAGCTGCAATGTATTAATCTATATATTGATATAGGGATATTAACACTTCTCTTACTCTATGATTATATTAATCTTTGGAGTAACTCTCTTACTCTATGATTATATTAATTTTTGTGTGAGTCAGAAAAATAAATTTGATTTAAAGAAATAAAATAATTAAAATATAAAGTCACCATGTCTCAACAACTTATCAATCTATCTTTAGATGAATTAAAAAATATACTTTCTAAAGAAAAACAAAAAGTCAAAAAAGATTATAAAGAATTAGAGGAAAAGATAAAGATTATCAAAGAGATAAAAAAAGTTAGAAAAGTTGGTAAAAAAATTAAACAAGGTAAAGTTTTACCAAAGAAACTTAAACCCAAAATGTTACCACGAACATTTGAGGAATATTTTGAGGAGTGTATAAAAAATAGAAAAATTCCAAAAGATACTCCAGCTTATTTACGAAAAGCACTTACGAGAGCTATGAGGGAATATGAACAGGGAATAGAACTTGAGAAATCATCTCTAGATGGATTTGCACAAAAATATGTAATTAAGGGTGAACCAGGTGTATTCCCTAAAGATTTTTTTCTAGATAAAAATGGTATTATTAAGGATTTTTTAAGAAATCATAGAAATACAAAAGTTAAATTTATTTTAAACACTCTTATGGGAAAAAGAGAGAAAACAAAAGATAATAAATCATTTGAAATTGTAAATAATGCATACTTTCATTCTGACATATATAGCAACTTGGAAACAACTAATGTTGATAGTATAAATAAAGGTAGTCAAGAAAAAATTAATGAAAGTATTAGCAATTACATAAACAATGGTAGTGGATGGTATTTTAAGAGTATACTTAATTTAGAAATACATATCAATGAATTTAAAGTAATGAGGGCTTCTTCATATATCCCACTTCCAGATTGGATTATGAGGAAAAAAGCTATTATTAATCTTCAAAATAAAGATGATAAATGTTTTCTTTGGTGTATACTTAGATATTTACATCCAAGAGAGAAAAATGATACTCGTTTGACAGATTTAAAACAGTATGAAAATTTACTTAATACTAAAGGAATTACTTTTCCAATGAAGGTAAAAGATATTAACAAATTTGAGAGACTTAATCCAGATCTTCCAGGAATAAATGTTTTTTCAAATGATAAATATACTATTTACCCTTTGAGACAGATAAATAAAGATAGTAAAAATACAATAGATTTATTTTATTATGAGGAAGATGGTAAAAGTCATTATTCACTAATCAAAAATTTTTCAAGACTTGTTCGAAGTCAAATTACTAAAAGAACAAATGAACCAATACATATATGTAAGAGATGTTTTTCTCATTTTACAACACAGGAATTATTAGATAAACATATGAAATATTGTTATAACAACAAAACATCATTTGTAAAAATGCCAAAACCAGGATCAAATTTACATTTTAAAATTTATTATAAACAACTTCCTATTCCTTTTTGTGTATATGCAGATTTTGAATGTATTACTACTACAGTGAGTAGTTGTTGTCCAAATCCTGAAGATTCTTATAATTACTCATATCAAAAACACGAACCATCAGGATTTTGTTTTTATGCAAAAGGAATTAGTGGTAAGCGAATTAAACCAGTTATGTTTACAAAATCTTCTGAGGATGAAGATGTGGCAAAAATATTTGTGGAGAAACTTACTGAATTAACTAAAGGAATATATGAAGATTTTTATTGTAAACCAAAACCTTTAGTAATGACAGCAGAGACACAAAAAGAATTTAATAATGTAGTTAATTGTTATATTTGCGGATATACATTAGGTAAAGACAAAGTACGTGACCATTGCCACTTTACAGGTGAATATCGTGGTGCATGTCATAACAAGTGTAATCTTATGTGTAAGAAACCTAGAATATTACCAGTTATATTTCATAATCTTCAAGGTTATGATGCACATTTATTTATTAAACAACTTGCTAAATTAGATGGTAAACTAGATTGTATACCTTGTACTGAGGAAAAGTATATTTCATTTTCTAAACATATCAAAGTTGGAGAATATCGTCATATTCAAGGCAACATGTGTGATATTACTTTTGAAATAAGATTTTTAGATTCTTATAAGTTTCTTCAATCATCACTTGGTAATCTTGTATCAAATTTGTCATTAGATGATTTTCATAACACAAAGTGTGAATTTAAGAAAAATATAAAATTATTAACTAGAAAAGGAGTATATCCTTATGATTACATTTCATCTCTTGATAAATTATCAGAAACACAATTACCACCAAAAGAAGCATTTTATTCAAAACTTTATGATGAAGATATTTCAGATGAAGATTACCAACATGCAATAAAAGTATGGAATACATTTAAATGTCGAACAATAAGAGATTATCATGACTTATATCTCAAGTCAGATGTACTACTATTAGCAGATGTATTTGAAAAATTTAGATCAACATGTATGAAGCATTACAAATTAGATCCAACACATTACTACACATCTCCAGGTCTAGCTTGGGATGCATGTCTAAAGTTAACAGGACAAAATCTAGAATTATTAACAGACTATGATATGTTAATGATGTTTGAACGTGGTATTCGAGGTGGTATTACTCATATATCAAAGCGATATTCAGAAGCAAATAATAAATACATGAAAAGTTACAATCCTGAAAAGAAATCAAAATTTATTCAATATTTAGATGCAAACAATCTTTACGGTTGGGCTATGAGTCAGAATTTACCAACTCATGGATTTAAATGGGTAAAGGATTTAACAATGGAAAAGGTATATAAAATTTTAGATAAAAAAACCAAGCAGGGATTTCTATTTGAAGTTGATTTGGAATATCCTGAAGAGTTATGGAAACTTCACAATGACTACCCTTTAGCTCCAGAGTTAATGAAAGTAGGGGGTGTTGAGAAATTAATATGTCATTTTAAAACTAGAAAAAATTATGTTATTCATTATAAAAATCTTAAACAATGTTTAGAGTTAGGTATGAAGTTGACTGCTGTGCATAGAGGAATCTCATACTATCAATCTCCTTGGATGGAGCCATATATTAGAAAGAATACAGAACTTAGAAAGTGTGCCGCTAACAGTTTTGAGAAAGATTTTTTTAAACTTATGAATAACTCAGTTTTTGGTAAAACAATAGAAAATATTAGAAAGAGACAAAATGTATATCTTATTGATAATCGTAAGCAAGCTATTAAATTATCAAATAGACCAAATTTTGATAGATGCACAATATTCGATCGCAATCTTATAGCAATCCATATGAAGAATACAGAAGTGTATTTTAACAAACCAGTATATGTTGGTCAAGCAATTCTAGATTTATCAAAAACTTTAATGTTTGATTTTCATTACAACTATATAAAAAAGAAATATGGATCAAAGGCACAGTTATTGTTTACAGATACAGACAGTCTAGCATATGAAATTAGAACAAAAGATTTTTATAAAGATATAAGTGCTGATATAAAATTAAAGTTTGATACAAGTGATTATCCTGAAGTTCATCCTTCTGGAATATTAACAGGAGTTAATAAGAAAGTTATTGGAATGTTTAAGGATGAAGTAGGTGGTAAACAAATAACTCATTTTGTTGGATTAAGACCAAAACTTTATAGTTTTAAAATTGAGGAAGATAAAGTTGTAAAAAAGTGTAAAGGAATAAAAACCAATGTTGTAAAAAAGACAATAGATTTTAACGACTATGTTAAATGTTTGTGGGGGGTGCAGGGGGAGAATCCCCCGCTAATGAGAACTATGAAAATTATTCGAAGTGAAAAACATGATATATATTCTAAAGAAGTTAACAAAGTAGCTCTAAGTAATCAAGATGATAAGAGACAGGTCTTAAGGGATAAGGTACACACTTTAGCATTAAGATAGACTAAAAAATAAGATAGTATAAATAAAAATGTCTAATAACAAAATAGGGGGGTGCAGGGGGAGAATCCCCCGCTATAGTGAGGAAGAAAACCAAAAATATATAAATATTCTTGATACATATAAAAAAAGTAAAAGAAAAAAGGAGATTGTGGAGAGTCACTCTCACAAATTAGAACCATATATGGGTCAATGGATGTGTATTAAATGTGGAGTAATAAAAGAACATATTTTAAGTCAATATGATATAAATGATTTTGATAGACTACATTATCAAAAAAAGAGTATTTATCATAGAAAATATTATTTTGAGAAAAAGGTTAATGATGTTGCAAATTTAATAGGATTGAATGATGATGAAAAATCTATACTTAATGAAAGGTTATTAGAAATGGATAGTAAAAATATGATTATAGTCAACAAAAAATATAGTAGAAAAAGAATAATAAATATCAATTATATAATAAAAAAAATTTTGAAGAAAATGGGGTGTAAAAAATATAAAAATATTAAACTTAAAATTAGTTCTGATATTTTAATGCTTTATAATAATTGGTGGAAAAGTTATTGTAAATTGACAAAGTAATTTTATAATAAAAATATTATAAAATTAGCAGGGGGGTTCTCAGTGTAGGGTAAAGGGGGGAATTTTGGCTACTTTATTATTATCTAGGGTAAAGGAGGGTAACCTGATTACGCGGGATGTTAATGGTTTTATATTATTTAATTCTTTATAATCAGTATAAAAAACATTGTATATATTTATAAATGCTTTCTTTTTAAAAAATAAGTCTTCATCTATTTCAAAATCAATTTGTCTATCTATATTTAATTTTTTATCCATATCATTGAAAAAATTATATATTATTTCAATATCAAGAGTTTCATCTTCAATTTTTTCCTCTATTTTTTTTAACAAAATTTCGGGTTCCATTTCAAGTAAATCACTATATCTTTTATCACCAAAATATAAATTACCAAATTTTTTTTCTTCATTTTTGTGAAAAGATAAAAATTCATTAACAAAATTTTCATCATAGAATTTTCTTTTTAATTGATACTCTTCAATTTGATTTAACAGAGCTTTATCATAAATGTTTAAATAAAATTCTTTCATTAATCTTTTACCAAGATTTTTAAGATCTTTTTTGAAGATAACACACGAACTCATTTATTTATTATATTATATTAATTTTCGAGCAGGGGGGTCATAGGGGGGATGCAATCCCCCTATTAAATATCCAGTAAATAATGCCAGTTAGATATTGATAAACTTCTAATTTATCTAACTCGAAGGGGGGATTTAGAGGTGGAAAGAAATGCCCCCATCTTCCAGCTTTGTAATGTTTTCGAAAATATTTAAATGCTCTAAAAAATATCAAATGATTTCGTAATATTCTACTAACAGGGGGGTCATTGAATGGAGGTAGTCTATGTAATATTGTTTCAAGTGATATATAATCTCGTACGTAATGTTCGTATAGAAATTTATACACCAATGCTATCTTCAATTCATATTCTTGCAGGGGGGTTTTGGGCGGTGCCATCCTCCCATAGTAGAAGTTAACATAATTTACAATAGTTGTTATCATTTAATTATATGTTTATATTCATTTAAAGTTTTAAAAATATTAATATGGCCAACATGATTATAATTAACAATGAAAAATACTACAATCATCCTTTTATTAATAATTATTTAGCCAATAAAAATGGTGATATTTACAGTTTAAAATCTAAAAAAATTTTAAGTAAAAATAGAGATAATGGTAATGGTTATTTAATTTTTACTTATTATAACATAAATTTAAAAAAACAAAAAAATTACTATCATCATCGTTTTATTTACGAAGTATTCAATAATATTATACCAAAATTTATGGAGGTAGATCATCTCAACGGAGTAAAAAATGATAACCGAATTAAAAACTTACAATTACTTACTCATAAACAGAATGTAGAAAAAAGTAAAAATAAACCAATTATTTCAATTAATCTTAAAACAGGAGAGAAAAAAAAATATAAATCTATTACAAAAGCTTCTGAAGAATTAGATATATTTCAATCAAATATAACAACAATTTGTAAAAATAAAAATAAAACAGCAACTTCAAAAAAATATTTATGTAAATACACTTTTAAATATTTCTAAATAATTAAGTATTTAGAAATAGGATGCACTCCCCCTTATTAAAGGCAGGGGGGTCGTAGGGGGGATGCAATCCCCCTACTCGCTAAACTTGTTGTGATATTTAATACTAAATTTATCCGGTTCGGGAGTTTGATCGATAATTAATTCATCTATTAACTTAATCCTATTTACAAACTCTTCTTTATTCCAATCATCACCTCTTAATGCAGATCGCAATTCAACAAGAACTTTTTCATAGGTAGTAAAAGCAATCCTCGTCATTTCTATCTTTCTCTTATAATTATGTTTCTTTCCTACTCCACCAACAATTACCCCAGCTCCATTTATTACTCCAATAATAACGGGATTAAGTGTAATTCCACCAGAAATAGTTCCTACAGCAACTAAAAATATACTAGTTATACTAAAAAAATTATCAAGAAATTTATAACTTTTATAAGACCTTTTAAAACACCAATATTTTTTATGGTAGTAACTGTAAAAATCTTTTATTGTTTTAACATCTGATTTTGATAAAGATGGATCTATGTGATTAAATTCAAAGATATCCTTCATTTTATATTTATACTATATAACTTCCATTTAACTTTTCTTGAAGCATTACTTTGTGATATTGCTCAGAGTCGGTGTCGTAAAAGTTTGGAGAATACATTAATCTATATAACATTCCATCTTCAGTTGTAAACTTCCAACGTTGATTGACATTGTAGTAAACAGCTGGTATAGTTAATATTCCACTATAGTTACTTATTTTAACTTTTGTCACATTTGTATCAAAATTTTCTGTTAGCCATAAAACAATTATTTTTCCATTAAAACTACTTAACATGGTAAAATTTTGAGTTGCTTTATTGATGGTTAAAGTTACTTTATTGTTTGTTTTATTATAATTTAATTTTAATAAAATATTATTGTTTGTTGATAAATATTTAGTTAGGGTAAAACTCCTATTTCTCCAATGAGTAAAAACAATATATAAAGTAGATTTTGAAGAATGTGTAGGAGAAAAAGTAACATCGTAACCATTAACATGTAAGCAATCTTTTTCTATGACATCTAGATCTTTATTTGGTGGTAGTTTAATATTAGGTTTTACAGAATTAATAATAACTCCTGATGAACCTATATTTATTCCATAACTATCCGCATTAGCAAAGTCATAGACTTCACTAAAGTATAATCTATACAAAGCATTTTTAGTAAAAGGAGCTATTTCTTTTACTAATGCAACTGTTGCAGCACTATTATCATTTTGTCGGTTAAGTTTGATATTTTTAATTTCTTTTTGATTTGCATTTATATCAACATTAAATACCACTTCTGTTGGTTTAATATCAAATGCGGTGTGATAGTCAAAAACTTTATCTTGATCGATATTGCTAAATGTACCCACAATTCCATAAGCTATCATGTAACATCCTTTAAACTGATTTGGATAAACATTAAGATCATTTCCTGTCTGGGGGATGTTAACAGAAACATGAAGAAAGAATCTATTACCCGTTGCTAACTTTCGAAAATTAATTATAAGTTTGTAATAATACATAAATTTTGTTTGATTTCCAGAATCAGTATACTTATGAGATAATTTTTTTATACTTACATTACCAAGTGTTAGACCGGATGAATTTCCTTTATCAACAGATATTTGGGACTTATGCCATAGTAAATATTCAGTGTTAAGTAATTCTAAGCAAAATGTATAATCAGTATTAGCATGAAGACGATAAAAGTTCATTCCCATTTTATAATTATAACTTCCTTGTGAATTTTTATTTATTTTATAATAAATAACTTTGTGATTATAATCGTGAAAGTTTCCATTTTTAGGAGTAAGTATACCAATTTTATCTATAAGAAAACTATTTCCTCCATTTGTTTCATCCGTCCATTGAGCCGCACTTGACATAAGATAAGCAAATTGGTCGGCGTAATGACTTGGTTGAACTGCAGTGTGATGAATTAGATGATCAGCATAATCTTTATTTACAGCATCATTTGCTTGGGTTGGTTTACCAAGATTTATTATTTTATTACTACCAACATTAAGGTTCCCAGTCATAGCAACAGTACCATCTTTTTCCAAATAATCGCTTAAATCTGGACTTCCAGAATTATCATCCACATACTTTTTGTTTGCAGCATCTGTGTCTGATGTTGGTGTCCTAAGGTTAATTATTTTTTTATTATTCATGTTTAGATTATTAGTCATTGTAGATGTACCATCACGAGCAACATACTTTAAATCTGTAAAAACTAATGGTGTTGGTTGTTTGGGACCCGTTGGAGCTGGTAGATTAAATATTCGATTGTTGTTCATATCTATATTTCCAGTCATTTTACTAAATGATCCATCAAGATTAAGATACTTTGTTGAAGCATAATACAATGGCACTGCATCAAGAGCGGCTATAGGAGTTCCTAAATTTTTTATTCTTTTAAGATTCATATCTAATACCCCAGTCATTATTCTTGTTCCATCTATTTTTAAAAAGTCACTACCATCAACTTTAGAGTCATCCACATACTTTTTGGTTGCTACATCATCATTGACTGTTGGTGTACCAACTTTAATTATTTTATTATTATCCATATTGAGATTACCTTTCATTGGGTAGGAACCATCTCTGTCAAGAAATGTGTTGTCTACATAGTCTTTTGTAGGAGGTTCTTTTCCATCCAGTGGTGTGCTAAGATTTGTAATTCGGTATGTATTCTTCATATCAATGTTTGAATCAACTGTTAATCCTGTTGTTGTGTATGATCCAGAATTATCATCAACATACTTCTTTGTAGCAGCATCAGTATTAGCACTGGGTGCGCCAACATTTGTGAGTCTTTTTTTATTAAGATCGTAATTTCCATCTGCGGTTAAACTAAAACCAACTCCTGGCGCACCCTGTATTCCTTTAGCAAAAGGATGATCGAAAGATTGTTCGTTAAATATTCCCATTTTATCTAATGTTTATATTTTCTTTTAAGGGAGGAGTGTTAGGGGAGCCGTAGGTTCCCCTTATAGATTACTAGTAAAGTTTTTAGCAATACGTTTTCTAGGTCTATCAACGTATAGAAATGTAAATGGTTTTTTTGTTGCTGCTTTATATGTCTCTTTGTCAACTCCTAATTCTGATGATATGCGATTTGCTTCCCTCGATGATGGAAATTCATACAGACAGTAGTGAGAACAATTCAATCGAATATCCTTTGGAGTTTTGTAAAATGATTGACTGAGGTAGATTACAGAGCAATTCTTATGCCGTCCTTGGATGAAATAATCAATAAGTTGTCTCTGGTTTTTATCGCAAACATAATCATCAAATATTACAAGTTTTTGATTGTCTTCATAATCCATTTCTGTAACCGGGGTTATTTCATCATTATTAACATGAAGTATTTCATATCCCAATTTATGACTTAACTCCCTCATTTTTTGAATTAACTTTTGATACTTATTCTGTTCTAGATTACGCGCGTAAAGATAAATTTCATCATAGTACAACAGTGGTTTGATTAACATATGATACAGTAGATTAGTTTTACCACTTCCACTGTTTCCACAAATTAACATTCGAAATGTATCTGCTGGCATGTAAGGAAATAACTGTTTATATTTTTTATCCGGGTCATCGTCACTATCATAGTTTGGTATTTCCATTTATCTAATGATTAAATAATTTTTGTAGCAAGCAGGGGGGTTTTGGGGGGATGCAATCCCCCCATTCCATTTATATATTTATTATATAAAATGGATATTGAAGAATACAAAAAACTTGCAAGAAATAAAATTGAAGCTGACACTTTAACTCAACAGGTTAGAGATGTAATAAAAGTAACAAAATGGCAAAAACAAGATATGAGAGAAGGATTTAAAGAAACATTTAAACCACTTATTAAATCTCAAGATTCTATTAAAAAAAGTATTGATGAACAGCAAAACGCAACTATAGCACAACTTCAAGCTAATCAACTTGCTCTTACTCAAGGTTTAAATCAAAACAGACTTGCTATAACTCAAGGATTAGAAGGTTTAATTGCAGAAAAATTTGAAGACGCTGAAGACGATGAAGGACAAGATAAAGGACAAGATAAAGGACAAGCTGAAGAACAAGATAAAGAACAAGATAAAGGACAAGATGAAGCAAAAAAAATAATAAATATAAATCCTGATTATTACAATCAATATTTAATGAATGAAAAAAGCCAAACTATACTTTTAGATTATGGTTATGATAATTTACCTTCTACATTTTTAAATAAAAGTATAATTGATATTATTTCAACAATTAATAATGTTTCAGAAGATTTAAAAGATATATATAACAAAAAGAAAACAAGTATCAGATTATATAACAATAATAGTGGTTATCAATTAGCAACATCAATGAGTCAAAATCCAAGAGAAGAAACAAAAAAAACTATAGATAAATACAACACATTATCAACATATTATACCAATTTAACACGTCTTAAAGAAGTAAAAATAAAAATGAAAGGCTCTGGAATAAATTACTTTAACAACCCACATCAACATATAGACAGACTTGAATTACTCAGTGGATCAATTCTAGCTGGTAATAATGGTGTATTGCAAGAGTTTTCTGAAATAGCACATCTTCTTAACCAAATGAAAGTAATTACAAAAAAACAACTTAACGAACTACTAAAAACTTATATAACAAATAGATAAAATGGAAGAACGAGCTATTCACATTTCTTCGATAAATAGGGAAAAAAGAGGAACAAGTAAACCTGGTGATTTTACTATTAAGTTTAATCCATCTCTAAAACTTGACCCTGAAAAAAAACATCAACTTGCTCTTGATCGACTGTCCATGACTTATTCTTGGTACAACATTAGAAGTGATTATGAAAACAATAAAATAAAATACACTCATGATGGAAGGAATTGGCAAACAATTACTTTTACAGATGGAATGTATTCCTACTCAGATATTAATGATTACATTCATCAGTATATGGAGAAAAAGTCTCATCACTCAACAGATTCAAGTGGAAAAAAAAACTTATTCAATCAATCTAACTTTTATACTATCTACTTATCGAGTGTTAGTATCACTTGATGGTGATTATCAATTAGATCTAAGAGGAACAGAATTTGGAGACCTGATTGGATTTGAAAAAAAACTTATTACAAAAACAGAGTATGGAACAAAACTACCAAATATAACAAATTCGATTGATGTTTTAAATATCAACACAACCGCAATAACTGATAGCATTGTAAATGGGATAAATACAAATACTATTGCTGTAATACCAACTGATAATCTCACAAGGTCTTATCCATTTACTTTTGAACCTAAAAGACCATTGTATTGTTCTTTATCATCGTATCACATTGATGAAATGAGAGTCTATGTGACAGACTCAGTTGGAAGACCAGTAAATTTTAATGATATAGATTGGTTTATGACTTTAATACTCCATTCAATGTAAACCCCTCCCTCAACTAAATATATATTCATTAGATAAAAATGAGTAGACAATCAGAGTTTAAAAAAAAACTTGACCCTGAAATGGGGCGATTTACTAAACAACACATATATGGAGAAGGAATAACAGATGTGTTTAAATCTATTGGTTCTAAATTATTTGGAAAGACAGTTAAATCAGCTGCTAAAAAAAGTGTTGAAAAAGCACTAACAACAGCTGCAACAAAAACTGGTGAACATGCTGGTAAGAAGGCTGGTGATAAAATAGTGCAAATGCTAAGCAAAGAGGTTTCTCCCAAAAAACCCACTGTTAAAAAAGTTAATTTTAATAAAAATATTGAAATAATTCCAAACAAAAAAAATACTAAACAAGAAATAAATGCAAGAGTGAATTCTATTCTAAGCGGGGGAAAAATTATATAATTATTAAAATAAAAAATGAAGTCTTTTAGAAATCCAGAATATTTAGATAGATATGAAGATGTTGTTTTTGACCTTGAACAGGCTTTAGCAACACCTGGAAATGCTGCTCACCAAACTAAAACAGGTCATAGATTTGTTGCTGATAATACAGGTGAGAGCACTCCATTTGATTGGTATAACGCGCGATTTTCAGTGGATTTTAAAGTTAATCAGCTTGCTGCTGGAGCTGATATAGATGCAGATGGAGATCAAATGGGAATAGTAAATGGAAGTTCCAGTCTCATAGAAAAGTTAACAATCCTAGCAAATGGTAGAGATGTTTATAGTTGCAACTATGCTAATCACGTAGTAAATATAAAAAATTTGCTTGAGTATAATCCTTCCTATGTTGAGAGTGTCGCTACAAATGAATTTTACTATCTCGATACATCAAGAAACGCTGAAAGAAATAAATACACAAAAAGGCAAGTAACTCACAGAAGGAATGCTGCTGACACTGCTGATCAAGCAGGATTAATGATAGATGATGTTGAAGCTAATTATAACAAAGGTTTTGCTGTGAGAAAAGCATTACTAGGCGACTCAGCAACAGTGCGATGTGAAATTCCCCTCAACAGATATTCTTTCTTTGAGGCATTAGAAAACAAACTTCTTCCAAATACAAAAATCGAATTAAATATCGAAATAGAAAAAGATGGTAATCTTATTTGGCGAGCTGGTGGAAATGATTGTAGAGTTATACTAACAAGATTTCAACTATTTGTTCCAAGAATAACATTTAACTCAAAAGGACAAAAATTGTTCATGGAAAATTATCTCAAACCCTACAAATGGACCTATCTTAATGAAGTAGTAGAGCGATCAAATAACTCTCAACAGCAAACAGGACATTTCAGAATTACAAATGCGATATCAAAACCTCGCCATGTCTTTATTTTTGCGATTAATACGGCTAATATTGTTTCTCAAACAGCAAATCCATTTTTGTATAACACTTTTAATTTACCAAACAATGCTAATATATCTCGTTGTTATCTTGAGGTAGGAAATGGAAATGAATACCCTGATATTCACTTTAAACCAGCTACAGATCCAGCGAGAGTGTTTCGAGAAGTAATGTCATACGTTTTTGCAAATAACGACTTTCAAGGTGGAACACTTCTCAATAGAACAAATTTTGAATCTCTATTTCCTTTTGTTTATTTTGACCTAACAAAACAAAAAATGGATATCAAAGATGGTGTTACAAAATTAGCATTTCATTACGAATTATCTGCTAATCCAAACGATGATTATAATATTTACGCTCTAATCTTACATGAAAGAGTAGCAGAAATATCACAACAAGATGGAAAACTATTACTTCGAGCATAAACTCCTCCCTTAGATACACCGCATATGTTTACACAAAATTTTACACAACATTTTATAATTACACAGAATTTTCTACAAGTTGTTATGATTACACAGAATTATGTGTAATAATTTGATTGGTTGAAAAAATCATACCACCAGTAACACTTAACCACCAAATGAAATAAAAACAAAACAAAATTTAATATAAACATCAAATAAAAATGACAACTTATATTGAATACGGAGTAAAACTTACAGATGGACAAAAGTCAAAACTGGCTTCTGCAATATTAAATAAATCACCATTAACTCTTCGATTAAAACATGAACAACTTAGAGGCTCTGATGAGTTAATGTTAACCAGCAGACAAATTTCTAAAATAAAAAGGTCTATTGCAAATGGCACAGGATCGGATATAAAAATAAGTAAAACTCAAATTAGACGTTCTGTAAAACATGGAGGAAATTTATTTACTTCACTTGCTTCTATTGGAGCGCGAGTATTACCTTACGCAGAAAAAGGAATTTCAAAAGTTGCTCCTGCATTAGCAACTGGTGCTGCTACTGCACTTGGAGAAATAGGATTAAATAAAATATTTGGAAAAGGAATAACAATTCCAAAAAAGTTTTTTCCAATGTTACCAGCTATTAAAGGAGAATTAACAAAATCACAAATTGATCTAATAAATAAGATGTTTCAATCTGGTGGACGAGTAGTTATTAAACCAACTCGTAAACAAATAGAAGGAGGATTTTTAGGTACTCTTGCATCTATTGGAATTCCAATGGCAATCAGTTTAGTATCTAAGATGTTTGGAGGGGGACTTCAGGTTGATAGACGTGGGACATCTAATACAGCAAATGTTTACGTTCCACATCCTCCTCCATCCACACATGGTGAGGGTTATCCTTATCACTTTCCACCACCTTTTTTAGGTAGTTGGGAAAACCCAATTGGAATGGGATTAAAAAAAAAAAAGTCCAAATCCAAGGGTTCAGGACTACTACTAGGAAAAAACAGCCCATTCAACTCAATTCCCATTCTAGGAACCATTTTGTAATTAAACCTCTTTCTAACTTTGACCTTATGGAATGGATAAAAAAACTTGGTATTAAATATTTTAGAGGAATATATAGTCGTGATGGACTACCAAAAAAGATTAAAAAAGAATGTGGAATAATTAATCTAGATGATATGAGTGGACCTGGTACACACTGGGTTTGTTATAGAAGTATAGATAATACAGTTGAATATTTCGATCCATTTGGATTAATAATGCCAAATGAAGCATTAGAGTATTTTAATACTTCTGGAAAACAAATAGTTTACTCAATGGATGAAATACAAAATCGCAATACTGTACTTTGCGGTTATTGGTGTTTATACTATTTATTAGAAAGACAAAAAGGTAATAGTATTCTAGATATAATACATAACCCTCATTTTGATGATGATAATAGTGATTTTATAAAAGAATGGGTTGAGTTACACTCCTCATAAAACCATATGTTAGAATATAATATTTAATAAATATTATATTTATTCACTATCAACTGGTGTATCCTTTAGCTTTTTAATCTTTTCAACTTTGTTGTTTAAATTTTTAACATTATCAACTATATCATTAAATTTTGAGTAAATATCAATAAGTCTATAAAGTTTTTTCTTTTTTTTATCATTTAATTTTAACCAAGAATATTCTTCATTTCTAATTTTATTCCACATCACAGATTCAGTAACAATTAGTATTCTATTAAGTTCATCATTTTTACTTCTAAGAGACTCAAACTCATTATATATTTTTGTTCGAACTTCTTTTTCAAAATCCTTGATTGTTTTAACATCCATCTTTTTTTCTATCTCGGAAAAAAATTTACCCTCCATTTATTATATAAATGGATAATTTTTCTTACTTGTTGGTGTAATTAATTTATGTTTTGTAATATTTAATTTTTTTAGAATTTTTTTTCCTTCTGGGATAATATCTTTGGGGTAAAGCTCTTTTTCTACTACAAGTTGTATCTCTCTAAATTTTTCCTGATTAATAAAAGTATCATATAATTCACTAGTGGTTTTGTATCTATACATGATATCTGTTTTTTTTAGGTCACCAAGTGTATAATTAAAATAAGCAAAGTTATCATCAAAATAATAAATAAAATATTTGACTTTTGTTGTCATTTTTTTTATGATTTATATAAATAGATAATTGTTCTTTACAACATTTTTAAGAGTATTTGATTTCTCACTTATTTCCAATCTAGATAAATCAGCGAATTCAAAACTCATGTTTAAGTTATCATACATCTTTTGAAGTTCACTTTTTAAGAAATTAGATCTAATAGACATATTTTATCTAAACAATATATTAAATGAAAGAAACTTATTGCATTGTAGATAAAAGAGTAACTCCTTGTACGGAACCAAGTGGTTACCAAAAAGATAAAAGAGGTAGAACTCAATTCTTTTGTAGATGTGCAGTTTGTGGAAATAAAAAAGTTAGATATGTAAAAATGGGAAATACCCCCACGCAAACTGGAAGTGGAAAAAAGAGAAAACGAAAGTCAAAAAACTAATAAGCCCGTCTGAAGGGGCGGGCGTATTTGATACTGTTGTTGGTACAGCAGTTGATGGATTTGTTCATTACGGTTTACCTTGGATGGGTAAGAAAGCAGTTGAAATGGGGCGATATGGAGCAAGCGAGCTAATGAGAAATAAAAACGTTCAAAAAAAAGCTGTAAATTATGGGATTAACAAACTTACCCCATTTATTCAAGATTCTGTTGGAACAGCAATGGATCAAATGTCAACAAAAGTTAGACCTAAAATTAAATATAAAACCGATCGAAAGGATTTAGACGGTCGAACGGGGCAAGGAGTTGACATTCACAAATGGATTGGTAAACTCCCAAAACCAAAAGCAGGATGGACTCCAGGTTCGTATAAATATATGGGTCCCTACAATCCTCTAGACAAACAATTAAGTTATGATCCTAAAACTGGAAAAGTTACAGATTGGAAAGTTAGACCGTATAACAAAGTCGATGAAATAGCAGCTTATCACGACATTTGTTATGATATGGGAAAAAACAAAGGTGATTGTGATAAAGAAATGGTAAAATCATTAGATAATATTCCATATGGTGAAATGCCAAAGTGGGGGTCAACTGCTAGATTCTTGATTAATACTAAACAAAAACTTGGACTTGGTTTAAACGCGATTCGGCGTTGAGTAGTGATTGGTCTCAACAATTAGCCGACGAACTTCACAAACCAATCACACGAAACTTTCAAAAGAGATCAGTAGTCTCAAACGGAATTGATGATATTTGGGCTGCTGATTTAGTTGAAATGCAAAAGTTTAGTAAGTGGAATAAAGGGATTAAATATCTGATGGCAGTTATTGATGTGTTTAGCAAATATGGATGGATTAAACCTCTGAGTAACAAAAAAACCGAAACTGTTAGTAAAGCATTTGATGAAATATTTAAATCAAGTAAACGTAAACCTCAAATGTTATGGACTGATAAAGGTTCTGAATTTATAAGCAAACATTTTAAAGATTTTCTTAAAAGTAAAGGTATTAGGTTGTATCACACTGAAAATGAAGAAAAATCTAGTGTTGTTGAGAGATGGAATAAAACAATGAAAAACAGAATGTGGAAAATGTTTACTGTAAATAACAACAATGTTTACTGGGATAAGATAGATAAACTAGTTGATAATTACAATAATACGAGACATTCTAGTATAAAACTCACCCCTGTTGAAGCAAGTAAAAAGAAAAATGAAAAAAAAGTTTGGTATAATTTGTATGGCGATCTAATATACTTAAAACCTAGCAAACCAAAGTTTTCAATTGGTGATTATGTTAGAATCTCAAAATATAAGAGGAGAGTATTTGATAAAGGTTACACACCAAACTGGACAGAGGAAATATTTGTAATTGATAAAATTCTTCCAACAAAACCTGTTACATATAATATTGTTGATATGATGGGAGAAGAGATTAAGGGTTCTTTTTACGAGCAAGAATTACAAAAAGCAAAACAACAAACATTTAGAATAGAAAAGATTATTAGACGAGATAATAAGAAAAAAATGGCATTAGTAAAATGGAGTGGATATCCTGATAAATTTAACTCATGGGTAAGTAATAAGGATTTGGTTGATTTTTAATACAAATTTTGTATTAAAAAAAAAATAGTTATTTTACTCATTTTCTTCTTTATCAGATAAAACTAAGTCTTCAACTAATTGATCAATTGTCTCTTCAGTATCACTTTCAATGTCACTATTTTTTTCATCAATTTTGAGTAAACTCTTTCTAGGTTCTAAATCTTTAACATAACACTCATGTACTTTTATTTGTAAAGATGTAACAGTCTTACTTATAAAAATTCCTTCAATTATCAATGCTAATTTAACACGGCAGTATTGGTTAAGATATTTAAAAGGATTTAAATCACGACCTTTTTTTCCCTTGAACAAAGATAAAATTTTTTTTGTTTTTTCTGAGTAAATAAGTTTTGTATAAAGAATTGGTGATGATGATTCATCAACTTTTGTTCTCTTTTTTCCTTTTTTGTCTGTATATTCTATTTGTTTATAGTAAAATGGTGAAGATAAAGATGAGGCTTGATCTGGCCCGTATTCATTCTCTAAATGTTGCTGAGATAAAGTTTTTAAAATATTAATAAAATTAAAAAATGCTTTTTCTTTATTGTCAGGTTCACTATCTTTAGACCAAAGACATACTGGAATACTATAACCAACCAATTTACCTGTTTCTTGATTTTTCTTTTCGCTGACACCAAAACTAAAAAGAAATGGAGTTTCAACTACAAGTGGTCCTTTTTTATTATTTGGATATTTTACTTCAATTGGAATACGTTTGTATTTAATCTTGCTATCTTTCACTTTGTACTCTTTGGCTTCATTAAAGATAATATTCTCTTGGGTAATATTTTCGTAACTTGACAACTGCATTTTTATTAATATTTAGTTAATCTTTAAATAAATATTAATTTTATTTTTTAGGCCAAAGTAAATTTACTGACCAATAGTTGCTCGATTCTGGTTTAGTATAAGTTAATTCTCCTTTTTTATTTTTAATCTTCTTAGCACGAGATAGATATTTATCTCTTCTCTCTTTATCTTTATGAATAGTATAATCTTCATATTTAGGTGAACCAAAATGTACTTTCTTTCCACCTGGAAGTGTAACCATGTATTTATTATTTTTACGAGATGAATAATCAAGTGATATAGCACCAAGATCTTTTGCCTTATCAATTAATTTATCAAACTCTGGACCTATAAGAATGTTTTCCTTCATCTTTTAGTTATTTATTATATAATTTCTCATAAATGTTTTTGTGCTCTGAATAATATTTTATTTTATTTTTAACTATTTCGATATTAGCAAATTCATCATCTTCAATTAACATAATATATTTATAAATTTCTTCTTTAATAAGATTAATATTAAAACCTAAATATTCATAGAAATCATTGATAGATTTTCTATAATCAAATTTTCTATCACGAATTACTACTTTTAGTGAATGATGTAGTAAATTATAAATTTGATACAAATTTTTTACATTTTTGGTTTTATTTTTACCAGCATTTTTAAGGTTATAACAAATGTTTCTTTTTTGTACATCATTTAAATATTCTTCCAAATTAAATGAAATTTTTCTTGAATCCTCCATATTTATATCTAATTAATATATTATTCTTCATACTCTATTAAATTAATTCTAAGAAAGAATTTACAAGCAACTTTGTATTCAATACTATCTGGTATACTTTCATACATTAATAAACTTGTTGCATTTATAAACAATTCATCAGCTTCATCATATGCATCTGGATAAGTTTCTGTTACATTAATTGATTTGATATTATTAAAAATATTGTCAAGATCAGCACTAGAATTTTTTACTAATTTTAATATATTAAAAATGTTGTCATCAACTCTTTTAAGAGATTTATAATCTTCTTCACTTTGAAATATTAAACCATTAAGTTTAAAAGGTGGGGGATTCTCCCCCTGCACCCCCCTCTTTGGTAAAAGTTTATTTTGTTGTCGTTTAAAACCCATTTCTATTTTGTAATTATTAAATCTCTAAATTCAAATTTATTTTTCTGACTCACACAAAAATTAATATAATCATAGAGTAAGAGAGTTACTCCAAAGATTAATATAATCATAGAGTAAGAGAAGTGTTAATATCCCTATATCAATATATAGATTAATACATTGCAGCTAGCTCTAGCACCCATGCATAGTTAATTTATCCTAGGACTAATTAATACTTCACAACTTTTTTCCTATAACTTTCACTAACAGTATAATAGTATAATAGTATAATAGTATAATAGTATAATAGTATAAACATTTACTATTATTACATATGTGTAGTATAGGAAATGATGACTTCTGGCTCACCCCAAAAAATTTCTAACCTTCGAACAACGGAACGAAAACTTGTGAATCGAAATTGAGTATTCGAATGAGTTTGAACGAGCGAAGCGAGTGAAAAACGAATGAGTTTACGAAATGAGTGAACAAGTTGAGTGATGTTGAGAGATGAGTTAGAAATTTTTTGGGGTGAGCCAGAAGGCATCATTTCCTATACTACTCATCACCCCTGATTGCCATTTAGTATAAAATGTACCAAGGCACTACAGCATCTATTCTCATGGTCGGCCATTTGTTTCAAAATTATGACACGATATACGTGCGGTATTTTGCCACGTATACTTTCCTGCTTTGTGGGGTTTTTAATTCCAAGCATATGACTATTTTCTTACAAACAAGCAAATATATGCGTACAAAAAAAGTCCATATATATGCCTTACAAACAAACATGTGTATATGGGGTCCCAGCAGGTCGTCGTTTAAGAGGCATCGAATTATACCGTCGGCAAAAAACCTACTTCATGTACGATAGAGCCGGAAAGCAACTTCAGTTTGGCGCCAAAATTTCCACGTGGCGGAGGTTCCTTGTTCATCGATGGAAATAGGAGCCACTGTATCCCGAGTGTTGATTTGCCCAGTGTCGCAAAGACAAGGAGGAAAGATTATTTAGAATAGGAATGCCCAAAGCACAGAATGTAAGGCACCATGCCTCGCCGACACACTCAGAATTTGCATAACGCTTACGCCAAACGCAATACCTTCTAATAAGGCTCCTGGGATTGACAAAGTGCCAACTCGAGTCCTTAAGGACAGCCTGTTGATCACACTCCTTTTCATTACGTCAATCATCAATGCTTCTCTTTTAGCTTCAACATTCCCAGAGGTCTGGAAAACTGCCGAAATTAAACCTATTCCCAAACAAGGCAACCACAAACTTCCTAACAATAAAAGACCGATTTCCCTGCTACCTGCATTGTCAAAGGTTTGCGAGAGAGTGGCTTATAATCAGTTTGTCACCTATTTGACAACCAAGGAAAGGCTTAGCACAAAACAAAGCGGCGACATAAAATGTTTCTCTACTGAGACATCTTTACTTCACACAACTGATGCATTTCTCGAAGGAATTGATGATAAGAAATTGATTGCCTGCATGCTTTTAAATATGAGTAAAGCCTTCGACAGCGTTGATCACCAAATATTGTTACCAAAAAAACAAAGCGTCGGCGCCTCAACCGGCGCGCTAAAATGGTTTAACAGCTACCTTACAAATAGATATCAAATTGTACGAATTCATAGTTCCGTTTCTGATCCTCTTCGAGTTGAATGTGGCGTTCCTTAAGGGAGTATCCTAGGCCCCCTATTATTTAGCATATATGTAAATGATCTACCAGAAGTTCCAAGGCATTGCTCTACAGAATGTTATGTAGACGATACAAAACTGTTTGTTTCTTTTAATTTAAACGACTGCCAACGGATTGTCCAAGAAATGAATGACGGCTACTACTAAATCCAGACAAGACAAAATTAATTGTTTTCGGGGGCCGACAGATGACCTCTAAGCTGCATGAATTTCACTTGTCTTTGTTTTGAAAGGACATTTCCCCAAAGCAATCAGCGAGAGATCTTGGCGTGATTTTGGATCCGAACTTAACATTTGATAACCATATAACGACCTCAGCGTCGGAATGTATCGCACGTCTAGCGCAAATTAACCGGGTCAACATTGCTTAGACAAAAATACGTTGTTAACCGTTATACACACCTTCGTCTTCAGCAAAATGTACTACTGTTCCCATGTTTGGGCAAATACCACAAATAAGAATGTTAAAAAATTGCAGGCCGTTCAAAACTTTGCTTGCCGAATCGTCAGCGGTGCGAAAAAATATGATCATGTAACACCCCTCTTAAAAAGCCTGTCTTGTCAAGGAAAATATCTGGAATGCAATCAGTCTCATTTCTCATTCTATGTATAAAGCAACATATTTTTAATTTATATATATTATCTAATTTAAGGATTGTTAGGAGTTTGAAATAGGGAGCAGCACTCTCTCTAGGATGTACAAAGCTATTCCAAATGCAATAAGATTGCTTTTTATTGTTATTATTTCACTGATGGAGTCACACTGACCACTATTTGAGCCTTCCAATATGCATAATTTACTAGTTGCTGATGCCTTGTGGAATATATTTGGTGGAGGCCATCAAGAGTCAGTGGCCATGTAGCGCAACAGTTGACCAAGCAAGGTCCAATGTGAGCCACCTCATAAGGAATTATTGCCAGAATGGACCAATATCTCGCAGGCAGCGAGCATCTCAGAAACGAACATCTAGACTTCCTTTCAGCCGGCCCACAACCACACCTCAGAAAAAGAGGTGGTGCAGGGTCTTTGCTATAAAACAGTCATGGAGAGACCAGATGAACCATGGCAATATAAGTCCTTTCAAGAACTGTGGGAAGGGAACATAGATTACCAAGAACAAAGCTCTGTTTCTGAAATCCTCAGTGCTATTTGTGAGGCTTACAATAGTTCTCCACCTGTTAATAAGCCACATACCTCACCACTGACACCTAACCACCTGTAACTACAGACAAAGTTGCATCTACATTGAAATTATGAGAGACGAAGAGATTAATCCAGAAACTATTAATAACAGTTCATCTACGAGCAACATTGATGTAAGTTTTGTCCAGTAATAATGTTTCAGCTAGAAATATTTCACAAAAAATAACTTGACAAATTTATACTGGTGCAAGAATAGTATTTATTAGTTAATTGCTCACTCCTCAGCGGGTATTAAACAATATGAAACACATCTTCTGACACTGCTGTCTGGCGCTTTAGATTCTGTTTGATGTAAATAAGCGTGTTTTCCAGAGTAGGAGCCTACATGTATTTGTACCGATGTTCAGATACAGACAAGGTCTGGACACTAGTTTAGTTTGATTAAAATGGTCTCTTATGGTATTCCACTTTTAAAACTTGAAACACAACAATTTTGTTGTTTGTAAACTCTTTTTTTCAGGTTGCTATTGCCTGTAGGACACCTACCGGCCAACAAATCCACAGCACGCAGCACAACACAATCATCCCTCTGTAATTACTTCCGCTCATCTGCTCTTCAGGAATCAAGTGCACCAAGAACATGTCAAACAATGGATTGCAACCAGATTATTGGTTTGTCTTGCTTCATGTTTGCTATTGTTATGTATCCCTTACATTCCTTAATGAGATAATAATAATAATAATAATAATAATAATAATAATAATAATGTTAATAATAATTATTAATATTATGGATGATGTAAGTTTACATTCATTAACCAAATTTCCTCCCTTCTTTGATTGGTATGAAAATGCTTAAAAGCTGATGGAAATGGTCAATATGCAAGCTACAGTTGGAAAAGGTCACACAAACTCTTTCTTGAACTTCTTCATCTTACATTGTTCTCTTACATTACAATAAACATTTTGCACATTAAAAGGCGCTACAACCAGTCTAGAACGTTTGAGACGTTGTGCTTGACTAATGGCCCTCATTTCCTCTACCACTTGCAATGACAACTTTGAATTTCTCTGAGGTAGTATTTTTAACCAATGTCACAACCATTTGGAAACTGGTTGTACTTGGGATCTTTTTAAATAAGGCTAAGCTACACTGCCTCTTAGTGTATGAGCAAACAGTTAGTGGGAAAATGCATATAAAAGTCAGTCAGTTGCATTTTGATTGAAAAACTACACTTGGTGGCCGTTAATTTTAGTGGTATCAATTATTTTTTTTGGTATGTTAGTCAATCTTGCTACTTCTTAAAGACAAATGTTATCTTCTCATTCACTATGATCTGTCATTTTTTTTGTTTGCCTTTAGATGTTGATGGGCCTGGAACCAGTTACATGGAGGCAAGTATCTTGATAGTTTCCCCAGAATTGTTACCTTCCCAAACATGTGAATCTGAGCAAAGTAAATTGGAAACCCTTAAAGAAGTGTTTCCAGGGGTAAATGATGTGGATGTCGCAGAAATTTTGAAGTCTTCAGCAAGCCTTACAGAGGCAACAAATCGAATCCTGGATTGCTCATATGCTGAAGACATCTTGAATGAAACAGGTATTTTACAAAAATTTCATATTTTCTAAAATATTTCTTTACTGGGCAAGGGTGACTAAATGACCCCTCAGCAAAAGCAGTAGAAGCTCTGAGAACCCAATGTTGACAATGTCCCTGGATTTGAGATATTACAAATGCTGGCATTACTACATGATATATGTGCTGATGATTGATAACACATCTAGAGTACATAGTATTGTAGATATTTTGTTTTGTCGCAGATGCTGTTTTTGAATACCCCCTGTAAATACTAAGTAGAGAATACTTGAAGCAAACATTGTAGTTGCAAAGTGCCTGTGAGTTGTTGTTTTGGTATGCAATGTTTACCTCAATCTTTTAGATAATTTTTCAGAAAATGAAGGTGGTGCCTTTCCACTCAGCATTGTTAAGAGGGACCCTATAACTGCAATGGACCCGTTCAGAAGGAAAATCCTGAAACCAGAACAAATTATCTTCGTGCAACAGCAGTCTCCCCTGTTAGTGAGAGAATTATTTATTTAAGATGATGAAGAGAGGGGAGATAGACATTAGAAGAGAATTGGATATTGATTTTGTTGATGAGGATCGAATAGATGCCAAGGGTTTGACAAGAGAGTATCTCAACCTTGTTCTTCAAGGAGAGTATCTCAACCTTGTTCTTAAAGGCATAACAGATGGCACAGGCGGTTATGTTTTATTTGAAGGTAGGGAAATTTTAGGTAACTGAACACCTTTAGAATGTAGGCATGTACATGTATTTAGTTACTGGCATTCTATCGTGAATGGTAAATTCCAATCTTATGGTGCCTCTGGGATTATATTATACGTTACCACTTATACTGGTACATGTATTCTGTGACCAACAATTAAAAAACATAGATGTTTTAAAATCAGTGTGCTCAGCCCTACAATGTAAACTGTAGTCCAAGAATGTTTTTTCCTGTCTAATCATTAATCATACTGCAATTCTCCACCTGACATTCACTATTCAATTACAATAAGGTCTTATATCCTGTTGACCTTATGCACATAAGGTGCACAGTAGTATTTGTACAGCTTACAGGAATTATTGTAGAAATAATCTGAATTTCCCAAATTATTTAGACCAAGGCTAAGTAAGTACCATAAAATATATTAATAGGAGACAGAGATCACCTGCTGCCAGTTAACTAAGAGGAATACTTGCAGAGTGATGATACCCAGCAATTCTCAATACCTTGCCACTTATGAAATCCCTTGGGTTTTGTCAGTTAGTTGCTAGCGCAATAAGGGCAACGGGGAGGTATAAGAGTGGAATTTTCCTAAGAATAACTTGCAACATTGGGAGATATACATGTAACCTTGAAAAATTTAAAGTTATTGCATGACAGTCTGTTGATTGTAATAATTACAAATTTATGTTGATGCCTAAACATTAACTCCTATCAAGCCTGGTCACAACAAAATGTCTTGTTTAAGAAGAAACCAAAACAACCTAATACAAATATTGTTTGCTTCCAATGATATATAGATTGAGAATGCCTCAGATGATGACACCCTTCAAGTGTTTCAAGGAAGGGATGATATCCAATTCTTGATGGCTCAAGCAGGGTTTGCGAATGAATTTCTCACATTGAAAAGCAAGGCAAGAGCAGTCCAGCACGTTATGCTTCACCAAGTATTTAAGTTGCAACGTGACAAAAGCGATGCTATCTGCACTGGATTGGATTCTGTAAACTTGACAGAATTTCTCTTAGTTAATGGTGTTCCCATTAACTAGTGATATATATATCATACACAACTAAAGACGTACAGGAAAGCAACACAGTAGCTGACCAAACAACTTTGACTGCACATGAAATTCAAGTGGTTGAATGGCTCTGTACTTACATTGATGAACTTCCAGAGTGCAATGAGTAGTACATGTAAATGCTTATAGTATATGTCATAGTTATCCTAACTGGTTATCATCTGGGGAACTAGGCTTTCTAGTGAGAGAATGTTGAAGCTATATTGACATTTTATAATGGGTTTACCAAAAATTCAAATGCCCAAAAGAAGTAAAGTCCTTCATTTTGCTACAGTGGTGGCTTCTGCATGCAATGTTCACCTGGTATAGACTGAGAGATCCCTTCAGAACTGTTTGTTGTCTTAAGCAAAATTCACTTGAGCGTACATCTATGATATTGAATTCATAAATCACTGATCAGTTCATTTTCAGTTTGCATTGTAGAGCAACATGAATAGAAGCATTTTTCAATGCACGCACTGAACCAGTCGTGTCCTCTCCTTTACTTTTCAGTGTTGCTGTAGCCAGTTGTACTCTCATGTTGTATTAGCCAGTTCCTATATTTCGAAGGAAAATGAACTTATGATGTACCTACATTGTAAAATGATTGACCTGAAGGATTTAAACATTGTGTACAGGTATCAAAACCAACATTGTAGCAGTTACAGTAGTTGTCTCCTCGTTAAGTTTATAAATTGAAGATGTGTTTTGTTAACAGAAAGAAAATCAGTGAGGCCATTTTTTTTTTCATTTCAGAGAAACAGACAGGCACCATCAATGGCACAGTCAGTGAAACAACCTCTGAGCTGTCAGGTTTACCAACACTGAAGGATCTCATTCAGTTTGTTTTTGGTGATCCATTTCTCCCAAAGGGTATCAAACTGAAGCTTAGTTTCCAAGGGTCACACTTTCCAGATGCAGATTCATGTTGAATTACAGTTCTTTCAAAAGGGCAATGAACAGCTGCATAAATTGCCAGTTTGCTGGATATGGAAGAGGATGAATTAGAAAATGGATGTTAGAATGTTTGAATGTGAATTTTTGTTGAGTTCAAAGGGTTTTTCCATACAAAAGGTTCGAGGAAACAGGTTTTTACAAATATACAGCTCAAGACTTCTTACTGTGATGACAGTGAGTTACTGTTTATATTGCATACCAGCTTTTCTGTACTCATATGTTAGACCATTAATGACTTATTAGCATTTCCCCTCCTTACAAAATAACTTGGGTTCCAGTTTTGGTTATGGATGATGCATTGCACATCTCTCAGAACATGTTTAACAGGTTTTGTTGATGTTTTACTGAATCCGAGCAATTTATGTTGAAATGCATGGACTCTGTTGACTCTAGCCAGAAGAACATGACTGGCAGTGTAACTATGTTAATATACTTCCCATCATCATAACATAGAGAGTAAGAGAGTTTATAATTTAAAAATAAAAGTTACTATTCAGTGTTCTTTGACTGACATCTTTGTTAATAAATGCTGGATACTTAGCTGCCATGAATTACATCACCTCAAGGGTCAAGAAATGCATAATGTTAACACTTAACAATAAAGATATGTGAAAAAAAGTTTAACATGACGTTTTGATGTCGCCATGACATAAGTAACATAACTTCATTTACACGTGCAAACATGCTACTTTTTTGTTCTTTATTTTGTCACTTTTAACCATATACATGTATATTATGTCGGTTTTAGTTTTGTCTTTGTCACTTCATAATGATGTCATGGTGCATGGAAATGCTGTGTTAAACTCTTTTCCCTGACTGAGACAGTTCATAAATAATCAGAAGTTTAAGTGTAATGCAACTACCACCTAAGTATTTATGCCTGTTGTTGGTAACATGAACATGAACATCCCTTCATGTAAAATGCAACTGAGCTTTAGCTCGTTAGTTATGGTTCTGTGCTTGTATGAGTGCCTGAATAATTTCCCGAGTTTCTAGT